TTGGTGAGAAAGGAAAAAATGTAAGGGAGGGAAAAAGTCGGAGCTTAGAGTTACCGTTGCTTTTATGGTTAGTGCAGCTGGAGATAAAGAAGATCCGGTGACTATATGGAAATCCGAGAGGCCTAGATGCTTTAGAGGAGTAGATATTAGCTCACTTCCAGTGAAATATTTTCACCAGAGTAAAGCTTGGATGACAGGCGATATCTTAAACAAGATTCTCTCTGCTTTCAATCTTAAAATGATTCGACAGAAAAGGTCGGTACTGCTTCTAATGGATAATGCTGGCTGTCACCCAGAAGATATCAAGGAGAAATTCTAACATTAAAAGTGTTTTTTTACCTCCTAACACTACATCTAAAATACAACCATTAGACCTGGGAATCATTGCTAACTTCAAAACTCACTACCGTCGCCTACTTTTTCGCTTTGTCTTGGCTTCAATTGATACTTGTAATTCTGCTTCTGAAACAGTAGGCTCATTAACAATCTTGACAGCAATTCGGTGGATATCAAAGGCTTGGACGGAAGTTAAACCAGAAGCAATATGTCAATGTTTTAGGAGAGCAGGTAGCTATCCTTACTGAGCAGTTGTGTTTGACCTCTGTGGTTCAACTTCAAGGACCTGATCCCTTTGCAGGTGCGGAAGCTGAAATGGATATTTCTAGCCTAATCTCTCATGTAATGGGCACTAGTGAGCAGTGTTCATCAGAGATCTATATTAATGGAGATAATGAGCTGGCTACTTGCATGGAATTCGATGATGACACATGGGATCAAAGGTTCCTCGAAAGCGTTGGTGTGCAAAATGACATAGAAAATCAAGACTCCGACACTGAAGAAACTGATCTACCACCCCCACCACCAAAAATAAAATCTTACCATGAAGCTTTGCAATCACTGAAGGATGTGCAAGCCTTTCTTGAAAGTCATTCATTTTCACAAAAGTGCAAACCCTCGGCGAACTACGCACGCGCGGTGCCGCTAAATGGATGGGCTATGCCAGCTATTAGCGTTTACCCGCGGTCTCCCGCTAGTAGCCCGGGGAGAGTCTCATGACACGGGCTAGCTACGGTATTAGATCGCATGCGGGAGTCGATACAGCGCCATCGCGGTGGCTTCTTGTGCCTCCAAGGTACACAGAGCAAGCGGATCAGATCGCAGTGAGCCATCATCACGCGTTGATCGCGTATAGTATACGCATGCGCACCGCTTATTGATGGGTTGGGCCACGCAACGCGGTCCGCGATTGTGCCAGTTTGTCGCTCTCGAACGCAGTTGTTTCTGGGAAATCGCCCTTTTCTTTTCAGGCTCGTGTAGTACTGAAGCCGGTGGTATCGCTAATTGGCCGCCTTGTAGCCTGTAGTGCCAGAATAAGCGTCGACACACACACACAGACAAACCAACTACGTAACCCTCGCTGCGCATGCGCGCCGAGGGTTAATGAAGCGGGTGATTAATCGATCGTGTTGCTCCGTTAGCTATGCACTATCGACAGAAGGTAGAGTGCTTTAGAGAACTTCTTTAGTGCTGAACACTAAACTTGTGTCTTCAATGTGTGGTTTTGATACCTCTCAATAAAGAAAACCTCCGAATAATGACAAAAAATTGCTGTCCCAATGTTTTCATTATTCGGAGGTCCCACTGTATTCAATCCCCACGCCCCGTCAAACAGACACGCCAATCTGCAATCGGTCTACAGAAAGCACGAACAAATCAAGAAGCGTGCATACGAACAACGGATAAGAGAGATTGAACACGCTACCTTCTCGCTTCTAGTGCTCTCTGCTACAGGAGGCTTGGAAGGCCGATACCTTTTACAAGAGACTGGCCTCCATGCTCGCCTCCAAGTGGGACCACACCTATAGCCGCACTCTATCCTGGCTACGTTGTCGTCTACATTATCCCGCCTTCAGACTTCTAATGTGGTGTCTTGTCTGTCAAACTCTTTTCAGTGGTTTGCTAGCTCTGAAAAAGGTCGTCGGCGATGTCAGGGACAGCGAAGGTCACTGCCTCCGTGTTAACAAAGCGGACCCAATCGGCATCGAAGGCACGTGGCATTCCAACCGCTAAGAAACTGTCGGTGAAACAGACTGCGAAACAACGTGCCCAAGAGCAAGATATATTGGTGCGTCATCTTCAAAGAAGAATGCAGGCGACGAAGGCCTCTCAGAATGGGTGGTTTGTTGCCGCTATATACATAGTCGATGGCAAGGAAGAGGCGTTGTTCTGTGAGGGGAAATGCAATGGGTGGTTTCACCGCTACCACGGTTTCATCTACAGGGGGAGCTTCCCCCCAAACTTCACCACTTCCCCCCCATAAATTTTGGATTTTGGAATGTAAATTGACAATAAAAAACTGATGCCTACTTTTAAATGAAAGTGCAAACCCTCGGCGAACTGCGCATGCGCGGTACCGCTAATGGCTGGGCGTTTACCTGCTGTTTCCCGCTAGTAGCTCGGGGAGAGTCTGACATGGCTAGCTACGGTAGTATATAGCATGCGGGAGTCGATACCTCCCCTTCGCTGTGGCTTCTCGTGCCTCCAAGGTACACAGAGCAAGCGGATCAGGTCGAGGTGAGCCGGCATACCGCGTCGATGACGTCTTATATACACATGCGCACCGCTTATTGATGGGTTGGGCCACGCAACGCGGTCCGTGACCGTGCCAGTTTATCGCTATCGAACGCAGTCGTTTCTGGGAAATCGCCCTTTTCTATTTCTGGCTCGCGTAGTTCTGAAGCCGCTGGTATCGCTAATGGGTCGCCTCGTAGCCTGTAGTGCCAGAATAAGCGTCCGACACACACACACACACACACCATTTTTACACTTGTGAGTATCACCAGAGTAAAAAAATACATCACCCAGGACCTTAGAGTAACAAGCCCACTTCCCCCTTAGGAAATTCCACACCTATGACATCACAACTCCCTATAAATACCCCACTGTGCATTAGTAGAACCATAGGATTGCAAGTCCCCCAGAGAGCCTAAGGTATGTGATTGTAACTACTTACTGTAAGCTGTAGATTTTGCACGAGAGTCTGTGACATTGGATGTGTGGGGAGAGTTGGCTAGCCATCAAAGATCTTTAACCCACCGTCCCCAGTTCTCAAGGCTGGGCATCCATGTCCTGCTCTTTGTGTTTGTATGAGGAGACTGTGTAACTACAATGTGATAGGCTAGGGCTGCACAAGCGCAAAACACTGAAGCAGAAATAGGTACCCTGGTAAATATGTAATTTTGACCACTGAGCTGCCGCGTGTAGTGAAGTTGACCAAAGTCTCCCAGCCTCTGGTCTCATTGTGTTTGTGTTTGGTCACTTTCCTTTCTCCCCCTTCCCTCCCTTTGTCCTCGATCACCCCCAACAAACACACACACAGACAGAACGACTACCGTAACCCTCGCTGCGCATGCGCGCCGAGTGTTAATTACCTCCTGCTTGCAGCACTGATGTGTGAGTGGTACTTCCCCCCAAACTCTAGATGAAACCCTGGCTACTGTGCTGGAGTTCCTCTGCCATTATTCAAGCATCTTTGCTCCTCGCCTAACCCATTTTACTGCATCATGTGTTCGCAACAAAACCATGAACGAGTCTCAACGGAGCTAAAACAAGCAGTCGAAAACATGAAGGCAACTATCGACAAGCTCACCGAGGAACTTGATGAACTCCGTAGTCAGTGTTCTAGGGAGCACCATAGAATCGTTTTTGCTGTAACTGTCGTCGATGAAAGTGGTCTAGTAAGGGTGAAGGCGAAATAGAGGCCGGTAGGGGAGGTGGTGATGGGAAGGGAGCTGACGGAAGGAGTGGAGGGGGTGGTAGGGGAGGGAGTGGTGGTGGTAGGGGAGGGAGCGGTGGTGGTAGGGGAGGGAGTGATGGCGGTAGTGGAGGGAGTAGTGGTGGTAGCGGAGGGAACAGTGGTGGTAGGGGAGGGAGCGGTGGTGGTAGGGGAGAGAGTGGTGGCGGTAGTGGAGGGAGTAGTGGTGGTAGCGGAGGGAACAGTGGTGGTAGGGGAGGGAGCGGTGGTGGTAGGGGAGGGAACAGTGGTGGTAGGGGAGGGAACAGTGGTGGTAGGGGAGGGAGCGGTGGTGGTAGGGGAGGAAGTGGTGGTGTGAAAAGGGGGGAAGAGGTGAAAAGGGTCATCCACTACTGGCAGCCTTGTTCAACAGCCACAGCCTGGGTCTCCGACCTCCGACAGCCACACAGGTAGGGGGAACAATCACTTCAGGACCATTAACTAGCTTGATGATAGAAAATGTATGATATGATGGAAGGGTCTCCAGGGGACTCAGCTCATTACCATTCTGTCAGACCCATGGCTGACAGTGTCACGGACTGTGGCTCTGGGGGCTCTGTGGTGTGGCATACAGCTAACAGTACACTGACCAGCACAGGTACTTTCGTTGTTTCAGATGCATGCCACGCATGAAAATGGCTCCGTGCAGTTGTCACACATAGCTGGTCGAAATAAATAGCTGCACTTCAACATAATATTTGAGTGGACCTAGCTACACACCAGAACAAAGTTGAATATCCGCCACAGCGAATAGGTACACAACAGAGGATTGGTTGACAGAAATGAATACTGTATCCTGCCCAAAATGTTACCCAGTAATCAGCCTAGAAAGTAAACATCAGTGTAGCTAATTACCTTTCACACCTACTCCAACCAGAAAACCCACAACTATATGAAATCAGATGACTGGTTTGAACACTGTCGATACAACCCGCACACATAATATGCTATTAATATAGGTAGCTAGCTACACCGTTATAGCTAGTCGGAATTGCGTACGCACCCGTCTTGCCAGCAAGCCAGTGGGAAAAGAGTCCATAGCACAGACAAGACCAAAATATTCATGTCGGTAATTATACAGAGTAGTAGCTGTCTAGTAAGAAGTTGAGCGACTTGTCCAAAACTGTACTGCGCTATATTTTGCGCATGCGTACGAGAAGCCGCTGCCGCTCTCTCGCGCAGTATGTAAGGATGCACTCCTCAATCGGAGATGCACAAGAGATTCCCTGTGAGTCCTGTTGAGAGAACTATCTGATCATGTTCCTACTCTTTCTGGTTATCTTAGGGACTTCTGAAGTGAGTGCTATGGAATAAAGGTGCAGTAGCAATAGCTAGCCATGCGGGTACGGGGTAGCTAGGGTTCGCAGTTGCATGACTGCGAATTAGATTTTCCGAATTCGTAAAGGAAACAGGTCTGCAATGTCTCACAGCAAAGCTGTCACACTCTGTAGTGTCGGTTTGGCTTTTGTCTTTTTACTGCTACACTTATTGCCCATCTAGTATGATTTTTCCCTATCTCTCCATACTGTTTGGAGGGGATAAAGTTGGTTTGTCAGTTAGTTAATGTGCGTAATAATAAGCTTCCTTTTCCTAATAATGTGTTGAAACATTTATAGACACAAAACGACCATTGGCTAGCTATACTTTCCTCGACATTATAGCCGCCTAAACAGTTTGGTTGTGTATGTTTTACCCCAGGTCATGGTCGGGCAGACATTTGCAATCAGTATGAGTCATGTGATGAGTGTATAACAACTGGAATTGGCTGTGTCTGGTGTCCGGACCCTGCTGTAAGTGTAGTATATACAGAGACTTTCCCATACCGTGACTAACTATGCTTATCAAGAGGCGGATCCAGCATATTATTATTATGATAACTGGGGGTTGTATAATTATTATTATATAAAATACTTGCGCATGCGCAGGTAGGGCCTCAGAGAGAGAGAGGGGGGGGCGCGGTTAGCGTATTTACGTATTATACGACGTACGTATAATAATATTATAGCTACTCGGATGCTTCTCTGTTACGGATGTTACAGAGTAACAGCGCGTGAACTTTTGGGGCGCTGCTTGCCCTGGGGCGGTGCGCTAAACCTACATGGGGTGACAACGTGATTTTCAGGTCAGTGTCAGTGGTCCGCTTCTTCGCATCCTTGCGTTACGACCCCCTCCCTGATCCGCTCCTGTTAATAATATCCAAGTGTAGTTCGATTCTTATGTTTGTTTGTCCTGTTCCCATTTCGTCTCCCCCACAGCCATTCTCGGGTCCCAGATGTACCAGTTACCAGACAGCAGACTGTCTCTCAGAGCCTGAAGACCCAGTGGCCACCCCTCCGCAGATACTCAGACAGGTGAGCTCGTTGTGTGTGTTTTGGTGTTTTTACACTCAAGAGGTTTTTGGGTGTCTAACACAAACACAGTAAAAAGTATATTACACATGACATCTCCATGCAATATTCATACTACCATAATTAGCATGTGCTTGCATTGATACACTTCAGAGCAGTGGTAGACACCCTACTGGGGCTCAGACATCATGTGATTCCATACATAAGCCTGCCTACTCAGTAAGAACGAGCCTTCAAGAATACGCCATCACCACTCACTTATAGCAATAGCAAAGCCAAAAATGTAGCTCCCGCTCTCCACAACGTATTAACTCCTCTCACTGATATTTAACGTAATATCCTTCTCCAAAAGATGTCTCAAGGACTATATTAAATCATTGTCACAGTGAAACTAATGGACATTGTTCTGTGAAACTCTTGGCATAAGTTAAGTCTAGAAGCATCACCACAATAGGTAATGAAACGACACAAAAATATTAGTTTTGAATACATCGGTTGTAAGCGTGTAAGTGTTGGCATCAAGAGCTTTCTCTTCACAGATGTGTGTCTCGAATACATTGGGTTATGTTTTGTTTCAATGTCTCAGGAATGAAAAGAAGATGAGATTATGAATGATTTCTATCTCAGTGTACGCACCTTGTTGTGTCCACCACGCACACACACAAGGGGTGGTTTGTAGCTACGTCTGTTTTCATTGTTGTTGTTAGCACGAAAATCATCACAACTAGATATTTAGGCATTTGAATGAGTTAAAACTGACTGGCTGGCTTCAGTGAAAAACTACATTTGTTTTGCTTCAAATCGACATAGCTGGTCATGAGGCGAGAAATCGGGGTACAATCAACACCTGCCCATGTGCATATGTGATTCATATAGTTTTATATCTCTAGCGTGTAGGGCGTACACGCCAGAGATAAAATATTATCATGTGTCACATCGCACTTCATGTCAGACACAAAGCTTGTATTTCTACTTGTATTTTTGTGTCTGCAGGATCAACTTGGAGAAATAGTTCAGATATCACCACAAGCAATTCGTCTTAATCTCAGAACAGGTAGAGTACCACTTAGTGTCTGGCCCTTTATAAGATGACCAGATGATTAGTTTTCAGAGCATGCATGAAAAAACATGTTTATAGCATACTAGCTCAGAGGAAAAGAAAGAACCTCCCCCACCCAAGCACACAAAACACAGACAATAACATACCCAAGCGTACAAAAACACAGACAATAACATATAAACAGAAAGAAAGAGGCAGGACCCTGGGTGCCCAGCCTTGAGAACCGGGGCGGTAGGTTAAAGAGTCTTTTATGGGCCCAACTCTCCCTACACACCCAGTGTCCCAACCTCCCTTACACATAGTTATAAAATAAATAGATAGAAATCATGTACAAAAAACGACAGCTACAGGATAAAAACAACAGCCGGTAGAAAAATAGAAAGCCTCAAAGGACCAATAAACCCATAGAAAAACATAAAAACTCTGAAACTCACGCAGCACGCGATTATTCTAAATAACGCACAGCATATACACGTGTAAGAAAAATAGAAAAAATAGAACTCCTAAAATAAGATTAATAGTTCTGTCGATTACTTTAAATAACGCACAGCATATACAAAAAATATAAATAATATAAATAATAGTAGAAATGGTAGAAATAGAAATGTTAAAAATAGATTATTCAAAATAAATATGTGACTATAAATATACATTCTATCTATGCGACACATGGCGACTGAGGAATCTATCCATTGCTGGCAGACATATACCATCCTCCACATGTTTGCGTATGCCGTAGCTATATTTAATCATAATTTGTGCGTGCTTTTTAGCAAACTTATAAAAGGACCTGCACAAATCAGAGTATGTACGGAACGTTTCGCTGTACAGGAGAGCCTCAGACATTCACTCTGTCAGTGAAGCCAGCCAGGAACTATCCTCTGGACATGTACTTCCTCATGGACCTCTCTGGATCTCAAGCCTCTGACCTGGACAGTCTCAAGAACCTCTCTAACTCCATAAGTCAGCGGTAGCTAATGCTGTACACAACAACACATGGAATGATGCTGTATTCATGTAGCTGACGAACTGGAGCAAATCTCATCACAGTTTACAGTTGGATTTGGGTCGTTTGTTGACAAGGTTGCCTACCCCTTTGCCTCGACACTACAGAATGGCTCTGACTACATGACCAGACACCTGGGAAACATGATGTATGTAAGCTGAACATCTCCTGTTTTCTGGTTTCACAAGGACAAAGAAAGGAATAGAGAGAAAGGGAGGGGTTCTAGGAAGTTCATGACCTACAACGAGAGCGTGGAGTCACTAATGCTTTGTCCACAGGGTAGAGTGTGCTAATGTGATACTCTCATGTGGGCCAACCTATGTCTACAGACACCATCTCCCACTGACCAGTGACAGTGGTCAGCTCAGAGTGAGTCCCAGGCCCTAGAGTTCAGGCATTTCCTTTTTACAAAAGGAGGAAGATAGTATTTATGTTTGTGAGAAAAGGTTTTGTTCTTAATGCCAGCATATACACACATCTCACCTGGTATTAAGAAACCATGAGAGTACAAGTGCATTACTGAGTACAGTTACCATACACTGTGCCAACAAATTATATTCCACACAAATAATATCCAACACCTTATATGAGATTTGATGGTTATCATACAGTTGAGTTTTTGTAGGAAGTTCTGGAAAATGTGACAATCAGAGGTAATCTGGATGCTCCAGAGGCCCCTCTGGAGGCTCTCCTGCAATCAGTTGTCTGTCTTGACGTGAGTTAAATTAAATCATTTCTCCCCCTCCTATATAGAGCAACTCACTGTTATCCTGTAGCTCTCCTTTCTTATGCTCTCCCTGCATGAGTATTTAGGATGCAAGCACACTGTCAGATACTGAGGTATCCATAACAGGAACAAATGTACCTGTTCATTGTAATAGCCTCTGGATGCTGCACCATCTCTCTCATCTGGAATATAGCTAACGAAAATCTCTACTGTTGACATAATATTCCGTAGGAGGTGGGATGGAGGAATGGTAGTCTGAGGATAGTCATGATCCTGACTGATGCTGGATTCAAGACTGCTCTGGATGGAAGGGTACACTGTTACTAATAGCATGATGTGGAAATGAAGGAATTGTTACTCTTTTTTGATGGCCTTTTTTCCTGAGCAGTGTAGCTTACGAGTATAGATCAGGAGTAGACTCCACAAGGGTTTGCAATACTGAATGGTAATGCCAATACTGTATAGTTCATGTATCCCATCGGTCTCTGTCCAGGTGGCTGGACTGGTGACCAGAAATGATGGAGAGTGTCATCTGAAGATGAATAAGGAAGGATTCTATGAGTACTTTAGAAGCCCTGAACAGGTCAAGATCTGCAGTGGAGCATGTGTGTATTTTCGCAGATACTTTTAGCTTGGAGATAAATGCAGCAGTTTTTAAGTGTAGAGGAAGGTCCATAGCTAAAGATATAGAGAGCAAATCCATAGTGTTATGGGCCTCACAAGTATAGAGTGTTGGTAGAACAATACATAGCTAATAATTATGTACCTACTATTATGTCACTATTACAGGATTACCCATCCATCCATCAAGTGCGGGACAAGTTGATAGAAAACGACATCATCACAATATTTGCAGTAGCAGAAGATGTCGTCGTAAACCGGACATCGACAGACAATATTGTATACAGGGTCAGTGAAGAAGTGCAAAAGATTGTCTACATTATGAATATCAATTGGAAATGTAGACTATAAATTTCCCCTTTCAGCTTTCAGTGACTAAGTTTCAAAAAAATCAAAACCCACACACAATGCATGCTATAGCTGAACAGAAAGCGAACATGCAACAATACGGCTGAATGTGAGAATAATTGCTTGCACAACTTTAAACAGAAATATAGCTATATAGCTACCTTTTTGGTTACTGGTCACTGCAGGAGCTGGCTAAGGAGATTGGAAACTCCAGGGCTTTTGTTCAGACCATAGCTGAGGACTCGGCTGACATTGTTAGTGTCATCAGAATAGCCTACGAGGTAATGTCTTTGTTATAAAGTATACAGTCCGGTGATAGATAAGGAATTAACGAGCTAACTATGAATGATATGCCGAACTATAGTTGTCTAATTCCACGATATTATTGCAACGTCAATGAGCAAACCTCATTAATGGAGTCACATACTCTCTTGCTGGCTTGGAGTCAAATCCAGGCCCTGTGTGATCCCTAGACAAAAATGATCTCACCCAGTGGCTAGCAAGCAAGGCCAAAGCCTATGTGCTTTAGTCTGAAGTTGCACAAATCAAAGATGTCAAATTACCTAATAGAGGTATTAAATACGTATCCCTCTTCCTCTAATCAATACACAGAGTGTAAAAAGAGATATAGTTGTGGACGGTGTATCTGGACTCACAATAGGGATTGCCCCTGTCCTCAACTGCAATCTGTAAGTTATCTCTGTGAGTTAATTGTATGACTGTGCTTCAGCAGTGTGTTTGGGTTAGTAGCAATAGTATTGGTTTTGTGTTATGATTAAGCTAAAAACACCAACAGCCTGCAGCTCTGTAACTAACTATTAAGTGTATGGCTAAACACAGGCTCTCTGATGGGAGTGGTTGTGCCAATGTGGCCCCAGAACAGCTGGAGATGTTCAATGTGACAGTCACCATGGACCAGTGTCTTCCTGACACTCAGACGTAAGCCTACGGTGATGTTAGTTATCCGAAAATCCACGTGCTGACACGGAATGTGTGACTGAACTAATGCTTTTGCACGTTGCATTAACTCAAAACCAAATTGGCCAATACTCTAATCCCATGCTGGCTTGCCTTTAAAAATCATCAATTTACAGTGGCAATTACCTTCTCTTCCCACTGTAGTCAACTTCTACCTCTGCCGGGGTTCGGTAATGTTGAGCTGACACTGGTACCTATCTGTGAATGCAATTGCTCATCACAAATGGTACGTAATTTGGTACATGTGGTGTGCATGTGGATATTGCGTTTGTTTCAGAGTCCAAACCACCCATCTTGTGGCGACCGAGGCTCTCTTGTGTGTGGAGCCTGCGACTGTTATGAGTAAGAAAAAGTTTAATGGCAAGGATAGCCTTGCTGAACACTGAATTACAAGGCAAATAAAATGTGTGACCATCACTATGATTTCCAGGGGCTTCTATGGAGAGCAATGTGAGTGTGATGATGAACTGGGGCCCTGTCTGTAAGTGCCAGCTACAACATTTGATTTCCACACAAAGCTACATTAAACCATCCCTACATCTTTGTGTGATTGATTCATATGCAAATAATATCAGACAAAGGTATATATAGGGTTGGTATCATTATAGTTTTGTGTGTCTTAGCTGTGAAATGACCCCTTCTTTCTTACTTTTTCATGTTTTGAGGCATGCCTCTACCCCTTCATTTTGAAATAAAATATTTTTCCACTTGTATATGCAGGGGTGACTGTTTTAACAGAGGAACTTGTGATAACTGCACAAGAGAGTGTATAAGTTGTGATACATACCAGGTACATAATGCCATAATTGCCGAGCGCATTAGCGCGAGGCAACTACTCCGGGTTGTATTCTCGCGATATGCGTAAGTATGTACGTACGTGTCGGTCACGCTTAAGAATGTCAATTAGTCACACTTAGGGAATGTCAATTAGTCACGCTTAGGAATGTCAATTAGTCAGCAAAAGGAAGTGTAACTTCCGTCATTAGTATCCACTTCCTCTTTCCAACTAGCTATCATCAAAGGCTATATCAACACTACAAGTGCCCAACATAATGCCATAATTTATTTGATGAGAACCTCACTGTATATGCACATGTCGTACATATTAGACTGCGGTATGTTTTTCATGCAGGACACTATAGGTGGTGTTTTTCAGATAGTGGGCAGTTTTGGAGAGAGATGTCAGTGTGACAACTCCACTGGTGCTGGAGCCTGTCCTGTTGGGAGAGATATAGACCAAGTCTGCAGTGGTGAGTGTTGGGAGAGATATAGACCAAGTCTGCAGTGGTGAGAGTTGGGAGAGATATAGACCAAGTCAGCAGTGGTGAGTGTCGGGAGAGATATGGACCAAGTCTGCAGTGGGAAGTTGGAGAGATATAGACAAGTCTGCAGTGGTGAGAGTTGGGAGAGATATAGACCAAGTCAGCAGTGGTGAGTGTCGGGAGAGATATGGACCAAGTCTGCAGTGGGAATGTTGGGAGAGATATAGACCAAGTCTGCAGTGGTGAGAGTTGGGAGAGATATAGACCAAGTCAGCAGTGGTGAGTGTTGGGAGAGATATGGACCAAGTCTGCAGTGGGAATGTTGGGAGAGATATAGACCAAGTCTGCAGTGGTGAGTGTTTGGAGAGATATAGACCAAGTCAGCAGTGGTGAGTGTTGGGAGAGATAGAGACCAAGTCTGCAGTGGGAATGTTGGGAGAGATATAGACCAAGTCAGCAGTGGTGAGTGTTGGGAGAGATATAGACCAAGTCTGCAGTGGCGAATGTTGGGAGAGATATAGACCAAGTCAGCAGTGGTGAGTGTTGGGAGAGATAGAGACCAAGTCTGCAGTGGGAATGTTGGGAGAGATATAGACCAAGTCTGCAGTGGTGAGTGTTTGGAGAGATATAGACCAAGTCTGCAAAAGTAGTGAGCTGCCCCCAGCCATGTTTGTCGGTCATTGAAGTCAGTGCACATTTTTTCTAAGTAACCTACTATTGGCAGAAATCATGTACATACCACCCTGCTAATTACCAATTAGTGAAGGCTTGGTTCACTACCAATTAAAGTAATCTCCTGGTATTGATGTGAGAATGTTGGCAGTCCGAAAAATTGTGTTGAATGTGAGGCTTTTTAATGACAAATATAATGTCTTTTGATTAATATAGGCTGTGAAGCTTTTGATCGATGATGATTTAAATGCCATACATCTCTACTTAGAGATGATTGTCAGTCTAGTACGCACTCTAAGGTCAAGTATGTCTTTGTGTAAACATATACTGTACGTGTACAGGTTGGGGAGAGTGCATGTGTGATGGAGAGAAGTGTGACTGTGACTGTGAGTGTGGGGCAGCTCCTCTCTCTGGTCAGCAGTACTCTGGAGATGACTGTGGCTGCGACCCTGACAACTGCTACAATGAGCAGTACCCTGGTGTGAGTTGATGGAGCACTTACAAATGTGTGTGTGTGTGAGCGAGAGAGAGAGAGAGAGAGAGAGAGAGAGAATGGAATAAGCGAAAGACATGCATGTGAACAGCACCTAGGTCCCAAGGCAAAAGCAAAGCAAACAATCAACAACGAGAACCAGGACAACTCCTCAAAAGAACTGCCATGCTATATATATGAGAATGGGTATAGATAGCTACAGGGAAATAGGATGAGCCTTCTGCATAAGGATAACTCTTACTTCAAGAGTATTATGCATGCACATGCTAAAGCAAGAAGGCAGTTAGTCTGAACAGAAAAACTGTTGAAGGGCATGTATAATAATGTACATACATCTCACAGAGGGAATGTGCACACAGTAGGAACAGACACTTGGATGGTCATTGTGACTGTAATAAATGTGAGTGCCCTGCAGAGGACTCTGTCTACTTCAACAGGACCTGCATCAATAGAGTGAGTAGTACTGTGTGGCCGCCATAAGTGCAAACCCTCTACGCAGAACCATGTTCCTGTGGCATCTCAAGAAGCAAAAAAATAATACCTACTTCAACCACACTTGTAAAAACGAAATGAGGATAGCTAGACAAAAAAAGTAGTGTAGAGAAGATATGCCAGCAAGAATCGAACTCGATTGGAGTGCGCTTGTCGAAGAGCGTTTGTACCGCCAAGCCAAAGTGGTGGAGTGGGAAGCTACAAGCTCACTGAATCCTCATTCACATAGCATCACAAAATGCATGCGCATGTCAATCGTGTAAAATGGCCGGACCTGGCCACGGTAACAAAAACACGCTCTAACTTGTAAGAAAAGCCGTTTTAGAGAAAACGGCCTTTTTTTTCTTTTGCTTATCATACTCGATACTCCTTTGTTGCGAATGTCATAGCGTGAGATGCGAGATTAAGCAGAGCGGACAGACAGTACGAACCAAGTGCCGTAACTTCTGGTGTATGCGCGCCGAGGGTACTCTATTGCAGCATGTTTTCGCGCTTATTTAGAATCTTGTTGGTCGATGCCCCCTTACATATAAATTCCGCATTCAGATGACTACTTCGCTTGCCAATAGCTAAATGAGAATAGTGGTTAGCTACATTCTCTGAATCGCTAGTCATCCACTCTATAGATTGACTTGTGTGATATGTTTGACTCCTGCGCTCGCTGCTGGCCTCGGGGTTGCACTACAGAAGACTGTCAATCCGGTTACCTGGAGGATTCCAGTGAGTTCTTGAGCCATTTCACAGTGCTGTTATGATTACCGAATTAATGTGTGGTTCTAGCTTTGCCCATTCTCCTGGGTATGTGGTCACATGGTGAAATTTTATTGCAATTGACATGAGTCAAAGGTATTATCAAATCCTTGCAGTGCCAGAAGACAGCGGGGCCTTGTTTTGCCAGTTTGAGCAGGACAGTTGTATTATTGTTAACTACCTGATTGTCCCCTCTGGACCATCTTACTCCATGGCCAGAGTGTACTTTTTGGAGTACAGTGGTGAGCCAGCATATACACGTAATCTATTAAACCCTCAGTACAAAGTGTGTGTCAATACAATCAATAATCACTTGGAAGTATCTTGTGTAAGACCTCGTGCTGGTTTCTGAAACCTGTTTCGGTAATAACCGCTGCTGGAATGAAAAGCACTAAAGTGCAAACCCTCGGCAAACTGTGCATGCGCGGTACCGCTATTTGATGGGTTTGGCTATTCGTATGCGTTTACTTGCCGAGAGTCTGACATGGGCTAGCGACAGTAGTAGATAGCATGCGGAGGTCGATATATGCCCTTCGTTGTGACATCTTGAGCCTTCAAGATACACAGAGCGAGCGGACCCGGTCGAGGTTTTGAAAGTGCAAACCCTCGGCTAACTGCGCATGCGCGGGTACCACTTATATTGATGGGCTGGGCTTTTTATGCCTTTTTACTCGTGGTATCCCGCTAGTAGCTCCAGGAGAGTCTGGCACAGGCTAGCTACAGTAGTAGATAGCATGCGGGAGTGGATACATGCCCTTCGTTGTGACTTCTTGTGCCTTCAAGATACACAGAGCGAGCGGACGCGGTCGATGTAAGCCTGTGCTAATTTGCACATTAGCTCCTTGACTTGCTCATAACTTTCGAACGCAGTATTTTTATCAAAATCTCTATTTTAAAAATAAAACCAGTGTGGCTCTGAACCCGTTGGTGTCGGCGAGCTCCGACCTTTCCGGGTCCTTTCGATGTCGGGAAACTCTTACAACCTCCAACTTTGAGGCATTAAGTTTTAGGTGATTGTCTTCGGCAAATTTTTTGGATTTCCCTTGCTTGATCACACATGACTTCTTTAGATGCGGCGGAGGTTCTCAGATCATCAGCATGGATTGCAGCCCCAGCATAGGTTTGGCACACAGAGAGACCACATTTCTTCTCTTTCAGCTGCTTTAGGAGTTGATCCATTACAATCAGAAAGGGGGTGGGGGAGAGAACTGAGGCTTGCTTCACCCCTCTTTCAACAGCAGAAGGTTCGGATAGTTGGTTGTTGACACGAACGCGACTTGTTGAGTTGGTGTACCAGTTCTTTATTACCCTCCACAACTTCCCATTGATTCCAATGTTGAACAGATGATGTAGCAGAATGGGAAGCTCCACTGAGTCGAATGCTTTTTCTATGTCAAAAACACAAAGATAGGGCTGACCACCATCTTGAAGGTGATTGGTCTCTTGAGTGGCAAAGATGGCATCCATGCATGAGACACCTTTTTGATAGGCAGTTTGCAGCTGATCTGGGAAGCCTTGTTCTTCTAGAGGTGAAGAGAGGCGCTGCAAAAGGATGATTTCGAGAACCTTTGACAGCACAGAGGAGAGTGTGATTCCACGATAGCTGCTCACCAGTAGGGGATCCCTGCCTTTTATAAATAGGAACAACCAGGCCTTCTTTCAAGCAAACTGGAAGTTCTTCGAGTGTAAGAAGGCGGTTAAAGATTTTCTTCAGCCAGATTTTCAGAACCTCACCACCATACACAATGTGTTCTGGAGAAAGACCATCAAGACCTCCGGATTTTCCTAATTTTAGATTTTTCAGAGCTTTTTCAATCTCTTCCACATATATCTCTGTGTCGAGGAGCTGTTCGTTATTGCCAAAAGATAACGCTTCCATTTCTTAAAGAGCAGCACACTGTTCACTAGATAGTGGCAGATCTGACTGTGCAAGGGAACCAAAAAAGATCTGAAGGTGTTGAGTATGCCACTTGTATCTGTGACGGACTGGCCGTCTACAAGTTTTGTACATTCGGTCCTTAGACTTGAAGTTTTGAAGCGTAGGGGGTGGTTTTCTTTGAACAGCGATCTCTTTCTTGGATTGTTGATCGCTCTTGTCTAGCTATAGCTATGGCAACGAACTGGCGAACATTTCTTTTTGTACGTTTCTTTTCTTCTGCCAGTGGGCCATAAGAGGGACGACCAGCGTCTCTCCATTTTTTCCAAGCGGCTTTCGCTGGTTTTGCATAGATCTTTGAGCTGATCATCCTTAACAAAAGATCTTTTCTTCTTGGCTTTTTTATTGCAGCATCAATGATACCTTTGGTTACATACGTGATTTCCCACTGTAGCTCATGGATACTTTGATGTGTAGCGCGAACAAAAGGTGAAGTTAGAGAGGATACTTGTTCAGCAAAACCATGTACGTCCCCATTTTCAACAGCCCGAGCCCAGTTGATGGTTCTAGTTCCTACTGAGGAACGGAGTGATGCATTTGTGTGTAGTGCTATAGTCATTGAGATGGGAAGATGATCGGACAAATTCAGTGGATGGTGTTGATGCACCAGACATGATATTACTTGGCCCACCAACGACGATTCTGTTAGGATATAATCCACCATAGAATGCGTGGTACTTGAAAAGAATGTATAGTCTGGACCGGAGACAATATTGCTTGTTGATACAGACTATAGGTTATGGCGGTGAATGCAGTTGTGTAGTAAACTTTCACGACCGAAGGACTGGTTTGACTGCTTTAGGTGGACATTGAAATCTCCTGCCAGAATAATTTGGCCGGTGGGCTGAAGTGAACTGATGACATTTTCTAGATCGGCCAGACATTCCGCAAAAACGTCTGTTGAATGATTACAGCTTGGCAGGTAGACTCCAATGATATATACACATTATCACCACGATTCTCTGGCTGAAGTTGAATGACGCAGAATCTATCTGAGGCGATCTTGGTCACAGGGGTGATCGGAAGAGAATTTTTCCATGTGATGCCCACCCCACCACAACCTCTTGTGAGTTGAGATTTCTCATTTAAGCGCTTGTCTGCAAACCCGAAACCAGCATAGTCTAGATGAATATCTTGCAACTGATCGAGGTTGAAGGGTCAAAGCCAGTGTTCCGATAAGATTATTACCTCAGATCCGTCGCTTATCAGTTGGTTTAGGTATGGGTATGCGTTTAGGTGGGCATGCGCGCCCGAGGGTTAATTAGCAATTGACTTCTTGACTTGGTTTCATGCCATAACTTTTGAACGCAGCACGTTTACGAAAATCGCCATTTCTAAAATGAAGCCAGTGTAGCGCTGAACCAGTTGGCGTCGCTTTTTTACCTGTTTGTTGCGCGTGGTGGCAGAAAGAGACAGACGGACAGACTAAGTACTAACCCTCGCTGCGCATGCACGCCGAGGGTTATAAAGTGCAACGTGCGCGGTACCGCTAATTGGTGGGCTAGGCTATTAAGTATGCGTTTAACCACGCTAGTAGCTCGCGGAGAGTGACACAAGCTAGCAGTAAATAGCACGCGGGAGTCGATACACGCCCTTTGTTGTGACTTCTTTGTACCTTCAAGATACACTGACATAGCCTCCAACTAAACTTTACGGCCGTCCGTACACATATAACAACAGTGTGATTGTAATATTATTGCAGGTGATTTCAATGTTGATTTTGATCGTGGAGGTTCTTTAGCAAGTTTGTTGTGTGGTTTTGTTTCTGATAGGGATTCTGTTGTCTGTGATTTGTCTTTTCGTGAGTCTGTTAAGTTTACTTACAAAAGGGATGATGGTCTTACACACTCATGGATTGACCACATTATTTGTTCCAGACCCTTCTCCTCAGTTATCACAGACGTCTACCCTTTAAACTGCGGCACTAATTTATCCGATCATCTCCCGCTGTGTTTCATGCTGCATATCAACTGCTCTCTGATTTCTGATCCTCCTTCCTCCACCACATCTAAATGTGTGTCCATTGATTGGTCTAATGCTAGCCCTTGACTAGCACATTTGTTTGCAATGAAAAAGAAGGCCTCTTTCTGGTCCGACATCAATGGGCTTAATAATAAAGGAGCTACTAAACACTCTCCAGTGGTTGATGGGGTTAGTAGAACCAAAAATATTGCTAACATATTTGCCTCTAAGTTCAGTTCTCTGCTAAACAAGCACTCCTCTTCTCTTCGTAACTCGCTTCTGGCTTCAATTAAGTCATCACTGAGTGAGTCAGATCTTTCTTCAGTAACTATCTCTGAGGTGATGTTTCTTCTGCTATCTCCCAATTGAAATCGCACAAGTCTTATGCATCTGGTATTACAACCGAACATTTAAAGTTTGCTTCGCCAGTTATCTGCAACCATCTCTCTCTCCTCTTCCTATCATTCTGCACCTGTATTTGGTGTGTATAATAATAATAATAATAACAAATTTTCCGTATTTTGCGTAACTTTTCCGTAGCGCGCTTGAACCCCCAGTTTGTCGTAATACTTGCCACGCCTTCTCGAGCGCGCTTCTCCTCCGTATTCTTCGATTTTTGCCCGTAAATGGTGTTCGAATTACGTAAAATTACGGGAAAATCCGTATACTTGGAGGCACTGCACTGAGCAAGAGAACCTGCTCGAGGTAAGCCTATTCTAATGAAGACTAACAGAGGAGAGCCACTCAAAAAACTGCTTGCCCGTCCTGGTCAACTAAAACAAAGCATCTTGCGGATATGCGCATGCCCCGGCAAAACACTGACCAAGACGTGTGCGCGCCAGAGTAGCCAGCCAGCAGGTCGCAATCGCGTAGGCTTGTTTTCAGTTTCACACCGTTTCACACTATATCTCTGGAACACAGTCGAATCGCCGAGCACACACGCGTGCGCTTGTTTTCATTTTCACGCCATATCCTGGAACTCAGGAAATCGAATATTTTAGTAGAATCCAATGTATTTTTTGACAATTGAGTGAGAGTGACTTGAACCTTTCATGTGATTTCCATGCATTTGCAAATTTTAGTGTAACAACATGTAATTATCAAGATGCTCACACATTTCGGGAAACTAGGTAGCTATAGTCTCTTTGATTTTCCATATGTAGCTACCTTAAAAGACTAATTTTGCTGTTCTCTACTTCGCAGACTGCCAGTCATCAGAGATAGATAGTATGGCCTGGGTAGCTCCTGTCATGGCAGTGCAAGGATTTCTTCTTCTGGTAGCTGTGCCAGTGATTTCTGGCTTGTGCATTCTGAGAAAACATGTATGTGTGCACATGCACTACATGATCTAGTGTTTGTGCTCTATATTATACTTAACAAGCCCTTATGCCAGCAGTAGCTATAGCTTAAAATGGCATTGTCTGCAAAATTCATAGACAAATAGGCTATGAGAAAACAACCCTTATCGCTCACGTTCAAGTAGCAGCACATGCCTGATTCCCGGAGCGGTAATTGCGGAATGGAAAGGAGTGTAAGTTTCAGGTTTTAGCAGAATCAACCTCTATCTAACAACAAAAGCCTGCATAAATTTGAGGCTCGAAGTCCTTTCCATTCTACTCTTGTGGCCCAAGGTATCAGGCATGTACCACCGCTCAATCTTGCGTGATAAGGGTTGTTTTCTCAGAGCCTATCACAATAATATTATTTCATGACATCGCACAAACGTTGGTCTTGCTCTTGTTTAGCTATTCATATAGATCTGGGCCTTGCAGAATCATTACTGGTCATTGGTAGACTTCAAAGGTCTTGATATGATCTGTACAATCACCATTGTTGTTTTGCACCTTGCAGAACAAAAATCACACCAGTAAAGCAGTGAGAGCAAAGTATCCAGGGATGAAGGGAAAAGGGAAGTTTCCTAACACCTTGGTGTTAGATACTGTACCTAGTAGAGGAGCTTCATTCGTGCACATTTTCTTGTAATTTGCCGTTTCACATGGTCATCAAGGGTGCACTGTGTGCACTACTGTCTTATTTATTGAGGCATCATGTAAAAGTCCAGTATTTTAACTATTTACGCAGTGGTCCAGTCCAGCCTGTTGAATTATAATGGAAGCAAGGCTATAATAAGCTGACAAAAAACGAATTTCTAGTCTGATAGATAATGTATCGTTGTCCACAACGCAGGTCGCACATTGTGGAAGGAGGAAGTGAGGTATATACATAATACGTATACGCTACATTCTTGTTTCCCTGTATCAGTTAGTAATTAATAGAACTGCTGGATCAATCAGCCTAAACAGACATAATATCCAGTCATCTTGGTCCTGTTTTTGCTCCTGTGTTTTGCTATAGTACTATGCTAGATGTGGGCCATTGATTGGTGTTTATTGGTAGGTTTAGTGATCTTAATATAACGTACATCTGAACTGTGAATGCTCTGGTAAAGAGTTGTTTTGATGCCCTCTGCAGAAAGAAAAGAGATGATGAGAAAGAGGATTTTGGTACAAGAACCATGATTGATTCAGTTGCATGTGTTAAACTGACATCATTTTTCAGAAACCACTGCTGCACTAACTGAACCGCTAATGATGTCTGATGTACTAGAAGAACTGGTACAAGAAATGTCTAGTGACGGACTCTTTGTTCCTGATACTAGCATCATCATACAAAACGTTGTTGGTGAAGGTATAAAATATGTTGTTAGCTAACAAATATTGGATTTTTATTCTCATCTAAAAGGAGAGTTTGGAGTTGTGTACAAGGCACTTCTACATGGGTGGAAGGAGTACATGTACTGTTTGGTTGCCGTGAAGACTTTAAAAGGTGTTTAGGTCAGAAAATATATTTGTGATGTATTTTGCTCGTGTTATTACAGGAATGTTTAGTTGTTGTGATGTTAAACATCTGGCAGAGGAGAGTAAGATCATGGCAACATTTGATCATCCCAATGTCATGAAGCTGATTGGTGTGTCCATCAACAAGTATAGAAACCTTTTTATTGTAATGCCATTCATGGCTAAAGGCAGTCTCTTATATCATCTGACGAGGAATAGACACATTTTCACTATAGAGAGTGAGGAAATCACAGAAATGGTAATTGTACCTACTAAATTGAGTTACATCTTTGAACTACTACAAACACTCAATTAATATTTCACAGCCAGAAGTAACGAGTTCAAGGTTGCTATCAATGTGCCTGCAGATTGCAAAAGGCATGGAATACTTGGCACACAATAAGTTTGTTCATCGTGACCTCGCAGCTAGGAACTGCATGTAAGAGATAAACATTTTTATGGTGCTTATGTGACTTTCTCCCATGTCAGGATTGACCTGAACAATGTGATAAAGGTTGCTGACTTTGGTCTGACAGAGGATATCTATGCCAGGAACTATTTCAGACAAACAACAGAACAAGAGAGGATGGAGAGCCTCCTGTGAAGCTGCCAGTGAAATGGATGGCTCTGGAGAGTCTGAATGATGGAATCTTCTCTGAGAAAACTGATGTGGTAGGACCTACAAATTTCACTAGATAAGGCAAGTGGTAACATGTTTTCCATTGTACAGTGGTCATTTGGAGTGACATGTTGGGAGGTGTTCTCATTGGGGAAGAACCCCTACCCTGGAGTGGACCCCTTTTCCCTCATCAGATATCTGGAGAGAGGAGAGAGACTGGACAAGCCTCTCAATGCTGCCTGCTCCCAGGAAATGTGGGGAGATGAACAGTTTACTCTTTATAGCTGTCTTCTCTCTGTGTATATCATCATATATGATGTGATGAAGGAGTGTTCGGAGCGGAAGCCATGGAAGAGACCAAGTTTCTCTCAACTGGTGACTGTCATCTCCACTAGTCTAGAGAGAATGGCTGGATATCTGGACCTCAACTCTCTGGTTCCTACCACTGACATGAAAACAATAGTCTTTTAGTTTAGCCTACTGTAACACATAGTGGGTTATATATGTAGCTAAATAATCTCTGAGTTTACTGTGGGTGATTTGGAATGGTGTTAATGGCACAATAGCAGACCTGTGCACACTCCACCTGACATCAGAACTGCTGCTTTAACTGAAGGCAACCCTTTTCAGAGTGGGTGTGTGTAAATAATCTCTGAGTTTACTGTGGGTGATTTGGAATGGTGTTAATGGCACAATAGCAGACCTGTGCACACTCCACCTGACATAGGAACTGCTGCTTTAACTGAAGGCAACCCTTTTCAGAGTGGGTGTGTGTCGTTGATGGATTTCCACACAACTACATAGTAGTGGATAACTGCTATCCTAAGAACTGTGGTTGATGTTTGCTTACTTAGTTGTAGTTTCCACTGAGGTAGTGTTACCATCATGTAAGTTAAATACGTACTCTGCAGTGGCTGACTCCACCACCACTGACTGTGACAAAGTAGTCACATGGTATTTTGTACATGAGTATCAAGAAAGCTAATTCAGTAGATTGGTGGAAAATACATGTACAATGAAAAAGCACTAAAGTGCAAACCCTCGGCGAACTGCGCTTGCGCGATACTGCTAATTGATGGGCTGGGCTATTTGTATACGTTTACTCGTAGTAGCTCGCGGAGAGTCTGACACGGGCTAGTTACAGTAGTAGATAGCATGCGTGAGTCAATGCATGCTATTCGTTGTGACTTATTATGCCTTCAAGATACTCTCCAAGTGGGAGTGGGGATTCCAGTAGGGTGTGAGAGTATCGTTCACTCTGTGGTCAGGAGGATATTTTTCAATTATTCCACCAGAATCACGTTGCGCACTCCTAGTTGATTTCTCCAATGCCTTCAACTCAGTCGACCGTGCGTGTATGTTCCAGGAGGTGCGGTCTCGGATTCCTTCCATGGCTGCATGGGTAGAAAGCTGCTACAGTTCCCAACCACATGTATTTTGGAGACCACAAGCTCTTCAGCTATTGCGGAGTTCAACAGGGAGATCCTTTGGGTCCCCTATGTTTTGCTCTCACTCTCCACCCGATTGTTAAGCAGATCAAGAGGGAAGTTCCAGAGCTGCTTATTAACGCATGGCACCCTGTGTGATTCCCTCAGCGACATTGGTTCTGCTGTCGCCATAATTGAGTCGGTAGGACCATCACGAGGCCTCATCCTCAACAACAGAAAATCTCTTCTCTTTATTCCTGCTGATGCTTCCCCCTCTAATCATACTGTACCTCCTGAAGTCCCAATTTTCAGTGATGGTTTCGAGCTCCTGGGCTCTCCGATTGGCCCATCATCCTACTGTGAGTCTTCTGTCCTGAAGAGAGTCAATAAGATCCCAAGAGGCTCTGATCAACCTACGAGACCTCCATGACTCGCAGATGGAAGCCATTCTCTTGCGTTCCTGTCTCTCCTTGCCAAAATTCCCCTTTGCCTACGTACATGTGCCCCGGACCTCATTCGACCTGCACTGGAAACTTTCGACGACACAATTAGGGAGGCTTTATCTGACCAGGCGGGGTGTCCCCTCCCAGACCGGTCATGGCTGCAGGCTTCCCTCCCGAGCAGCCTGGGAGGCTTGAATCTTCACCGGGCAGCACTACATGCTCCAGCCGCCTACATTAGTTCGCTGCATCGTTCCGAGCCTCTCATCTCTGATATTCTCGGCCTTTCACAATCACCTCCTGCTTTGCTTCTGTCAGGCCCAACCACAAGTAATTTATAGGCACAATCACCGTTCACAGGTTTTTTTGTTTTATTTATATTTTTATTCACAGGTTTATCTGTTTGTTGTTGTTTACAAACTTGTAATTAGTGTTTCGATGTACTCCCATCATGGTAAATCAGTGTACCAAGTTTCATTGTTAGAGGACCAACCATAAGCAAGTTATAGGCACAAACACATTTTACAAGTTTTTATAGCTTGAGGCTGTTTGTTGTGGTTTACAAACTTGTAATGTTTACATTTTGATACTTGTGATGGGTTGCATGTGTGTACAAAGTTATCATTCTGGGTATTTGCTCTACCTAGTTAGCACACTTTATTGGTCTATATCATAATGTATGGCCTGGGGCTATACCCTCACCTGTGCGCATGCGCAGTGAGGGTTATTGCAGTCGGTCTGTGTGTGTGTGTGTGTGTTAGGCTGCAAAAGCGAAACCAACGCAAGAGCGAAACAGGATTGGAATGTGCAATTAAGGCCGCACGGCCATCCGGTATCGGAACGTGTAACCACATGCGAAAGTTCCTTATCCTGAGACTAAAGGAGGAAGAAACGTCTCTCAGACCATCCTCACACTTGTACTTTAGCAGCAAGTCGAAGGCATTATGTGCAGAGCCTCGTTTCGCATTTGCGTTAGGTGCGTTGGTTAACGCATAAGCGAAACAGATGTCAATCTAAGCAAAAAGAAGCTAGACTAAGTAAGCATTGCAAAGTTATGGCCAACATTTAGGTTCTTTTCCAACTATTTTCAGCTTTCAGAACACCTTCAAGCTGGAGAACATGGCCTCAGCATCGATACAGATGTGGCTTTGTGGATTGAATATAGAAAATGCAACAAATGACCAGATTTGAGGCAGGTCATGGGCTTTGTAATTGTGAATATTGAACAACACTCTGAGTTTGATGAGTTCAAAAGGGCTATGAATGATCGTGATTGCGTTCTTCTCTCAAGTAATGCCCTCCTTGATTACTGGAATGAGTTTGAAAGAACAATAACAGTCTACAGCCAAAAACACCATAAACTTCATTATACTGAAATGGATCAGCTGATTGAGTGGGTAATGAAGCAAAGAGGAAAAGGGGTAAGTATAATAATCATACAAATTTTGTTTGAATCTTAGTTTCTTGCAGAGTGAAGGAAAAGTTCGGGAGGTTGTGGCTAACAACACTGGTCCTATCACAAAATTAATGAGAGAAGCATTGAACAGGTAGAGGAGAACATTCCACATTCACCTTCTAAGGAGGAGGCAAGCAGTTTTGTAGCTAGTAAGGAAGAGATAAGTCCTGCAGCTAAAAAGGAAGATAATCATAATTATTGTGATAGATCATTCTCAATCAGGCGAAAGTGAGTGGCCAACGTCATGGATTCCATCTCTTAATATGACTCAGTCCGACAAAGCAATCTTGAAAAGTTCCAATGCATTGCTATCGGACTCCATAATAAATGCTGCACAGTTACTATTAAAAAGGGGAAATGCACTGGTTGGAGGTTTACAAAATGTCTACTTTGGGCTCACAAATTCATTTGAAGTGGAAACAGGGGAATTCGTACAAATAATCCACACTGGGGAGGGCCACTGGCATGTGGTATCGACAATTGGAACGCAACATCCTGGTGTCAATGTGTTTGACAGTATGTACTATCATTGCCCTGAACATAGCATGGTGCAAATATCAAACGTGCTAATGACAAAGAAAAACACAATTCGACTTCACTACAACAATGTCCAAATGCAGTCAGGTCAGGCAGACTGTGGCCTTTTTGCCAATGTATTTGTGACTGCACTTTGAACGGCTTACATCCTGGGGCGTATATTTTCGATCAGAGTTTGATGCGGTCACACCTACTCAATTGTTTTGAGAGGGGGGAAATGGAATTATAAAAGAGAGGCGGGTCAAGAAGAAGATTAAAAGAATAGAAGAATTCAATGTATACTGCAGTTGTAGAAGGCCGCTAACATGTGGAGCTCAATTCATCCAGTGTTGGGCATGCCGGGAATGGTATCACATCGATTTTTGTGTAAAGATTGACAAAAGTTTTATAAATATAATTATACCAAGAAGAAGTGGTTATGTTACCTCTGTAAGTGCTGAAAGGCAAACAAGCTTTCTTCATGCGTACCATTTTGTCTCTTTCACCATGTAACCTGCTTCAAAACATACCCATGCCATACTCCAGTGATAATACTCATGAGTGTCATTATTATTGTACCATTCCACATATAGCTAACTTCTACCAAAATAATCTTCTAACCATGTCTTCATTATCCGTCGCTTTTCTCTCTGGCTGTTCCCTTCCCAATTTTGTCTACTGTCTCCTTTGTCTCCTTAGTCTCTTTGTTACAAAAGATGAATTGTATAGCTGATTCTATACTGTACGTCTAATATCTTGTCAGCAACAGTGTAGCACAGGAGAGCGCAAAATACTAGAGCGCGCAGTGTGCGATTTAGGTGCGCGCGCCGCACTTTATAGGCGTGTCGTTTCACTCTTGCGTTGGTTTCGCTTTTGCAGCTTAAAGAAGAAGAAGAAGAAGAAGAAGATGAAGAATAATTATGATGACACGAAAATCGTGAAATCGCGTATGAGCGAATTCTCCCATGGACGACTGAAGGTGCGCATGAGGTCTTGGGGGACATTTATAGGTAGATATGGGCCCGTAGACTATTGCTAGTATGTTTTGAAGGCCTAGGGAGTGATTCTCACCGAGTTTTTAGTCGTTTTGTACGCGGATCACGTGAGATTTCACCCGCGTCAGCAGAAAAAGGACCCAAAACTGAACCTTGCGGAACCTATGATATAACTTGTATTGATTTGGAGATTGCCCCTTCGACAACCACACTCTGGCAACGTCCAGACAAGTAGTTGCACACCCATCTAATAAGAGCAGGGTTGCGTTGAAGTAGTTTCAGCTTAGCGATTAGTTTACGGTGTGGGACAGAGTCAAAGGCTTTCAAGTCGAAGAAGATGGCGCAGGTCTCTGTTCCAGGGTCCAAACTTCGCATCCAGTCATTTGTTACACTAAGTAGTGCTAATGTTGAACGTCCTGGCTCGAAAGCCCCATTGGTTGATTGCTAGTGGATCAGTAAGGGACAGGTGCTCAGTGATAAGGCCATGAAAATGACGCTCAAGTATACTTTACTGAGAATGGATAGCAAAGATATCGGTCGGTATAGTTCTGAGGGACTAATCTGATTCTCTGATTTGGGTATAGGCACTACATGTGATGTTTTCCACAATGTTGTGAAACTGCCAGTTTTTAATGACAGGTTGATTATGTTGGTGATGGACAGTGCTATACTTTCTGCAGTTTGTCTGAGCATCCTGCAGTTTGTCTGAGCATCCTAGCAGAAATGCCGTCCTCTTGTATATATTTTTCATAGTCAGCTCTGTCGTGTCCTCGTAGGTTCAACACGCACGCATTGACATATTGATAAGCAACACAATCTAACAGTCTGCACACAGTAAGAGAGTACACTACTTATATATTATAGCTAAAAATTGGAAACGGAAATGAAGTATAAGTGACGTCACGAGAGTATTTAATGACCAGTCAATGCATATCTATGACATTCCTCCCCCCTTAGGTGAATGCTTACAGAAAATGAAAATAAAGAACCAAAAACACAATAAAGAAACATAAGACAAAGTATAAACATGCAACTACGAAACAAGAACATTACACAATAGGAAACCAATACACAAAGACATTATAGAACTCATGCATGCCATAAATTCATACACAATATCAAGTTTTTCCAGGTTCAAACCTTTCACGAGGTTTTCGTTGTCGACGGGGATAACGACGGATGTTCGAATCGCATGAATTCGTCGTAACGGTCGAATTGGATGTATCGGATGATTCGGTTGTGTCGGACGTTGTAGTCGGATTTGTTCGAACGTTCGGTTGATCAGAGTTCGTTAACTAATGATGGTTGCATGTACTTGAGTTCTCGCTCCGCTCGCCCAGCCAAGCATTTCCACTAGTACGAATTATAAAACGAAGCCAGTGTAGCGATGAACCTGTTGGTATCGCTGTTTGTAGCGCGGTGCCACAGAAAACGTGGGACACACGTACCGCAACCCTCGCTGCACATGCGCAATGTAACTTATCATGGTTTTGGCGGTGCACTTTTAATTAAACGACGGGGTGGAGTAGCTCATGCCTGGCTCTACATTTCCAAGTCCGTCTAAAAATTGCAGCGAATTGCAACTTACTAGGGGATGGCGAAAAACCAAGATCACATTAGAAGGTAAGAACCGCCGTTGATATGAGTTGGCAAGAAGCAGTAAAGGGCTATAATATAGCTGGAGCATGTTTATGCTTCTATCCAGGTCGTGGAACCTAGAAGGTGGCTGTGGTATTGAGCTGAGGCCAATGCTGAGGTTTGTTCAAAACGTTGGTTGCATAAGTTTTCCTAGATATCTGATTTTATTGTAGGGGGCGTCCTGAGATAGCAGGAGTTCCAATTTTTGATGCAACACCAGAGGAGGTCAGATACTAGGGCAACCTACTATGCTCTGTTCGTTATCATCCTGCCAACAGTGGGTGAAAAGAGTGTCACATGCCTATGACAAGGTGAACTGGACAACTCTTCATGTCTCTGAGAGGAAAGAGTGTCTTTACTTCTTGTTTGACTCCAAAGACAAACCAAGAGTAAGGCAAACTTTTATTCTAGTGTACTCAACACTATCTTCATGAACCCGTTTTGAGAATCTTATTGCTACACTTTATCCTCAGTTCTTGGAAGTTGTTCAGTATGTCCTACATCACTACCCTGACAGTGATATTGAAGATTTGGAAGGAGAAGTGAATCTTCTACTCATACTGCCAACTCCTCTAGCTCTGAAAGTTGTCAGGTTCAACTGCTGCAGAGCTCTGACACTGCAACATGTCCCAAGTCTCATGAGAAAAGGAATCCAACCACAGAAGGTTACCCATTATATTCTGTGCATCATGGTCAGAACCTTCAGGATTGAATGTATAGAATGGTAGGAACTGGGACAAAATTGATTTTTGTCATGCGAAAAGAGTTAGTGGATGCATGGGCGAGCGCAATTGCATACAGCAAGCAAATGTAGCTACCACAGTGAGATTGAGGATTAGCCATCGCAAACTGAACCAAAGACTACATTGCCAGTGGCAGATGACTTGTATAGGTGTGCAGAGCCATGGGTTTGATTAGTAACCCATTGGAGCGCGTCCCAAAGTTTGGTGCATGTGTTTTTTTTCTAGCTGCTGCTGCTCTTTTGTTTGTTCGTTACTGGCAAAATTGCATATATGAAAAAGGAGATGTTGCTGATTATTGAGGCGGGAACATGGGGTGGAGATGATTTTGGCGTCAATGGACCTTTTGCTGTTGTGCATGGTCACTCTACATATCAAAGATGAGCTTCTTACTACAACAATTATCTGATGGAATGCAAATTACATTCCTCTGATACCTGAGTACTATATCACATGACGTGTGACATTAATCCCAAATCCAAAATAATTGATAAGTTGGCATTAAAACCAAAAAAAGGGCAGCAGAACACAGTAAGCTAGCTATCAACATAATTCCACAGACTAATGGTAGAAGAAATGAATGAGAACAAATGTAATGCGACAGAAATATGCAATTATGCTCAGAGACAGAAACAATTATTATGTTAATAATAATACTAATAATAGCTACACAGTTCAATAACTGACAAAGTGTAGCCACTTCCGTATGATACTTAGACAGAACACCAGTTCAATTGTGTAATTTAGATCTCTGTTTGCAGTTGGAGAAACTGCTACGAGCTAGTCGGGAGGGCAGTGGGAAAAAGAGACGGAAGGGAGTCCTGCAGACCCTTCAAAGCATTCCAGAGGGTCATGCAGGGTTTAATGATACTGCAGAGGCATCTGGCCGACTATGTGCTGATGGACCTCAGCAACATGAACTGGTAACAGGCAATTGGTGTTATAATCAAGCTTTGTTCACTTATAGTCTGGATCTTGGAAAAGTGATCTCTGTTTCTATCAAAAAGGCATTCAGAAAGTGACGTTAACCTTTACATCTGCAAGTGGAGTGACACTACTTCTTGTCAATTCTAATGTCCCATAATTCACATTCTGTAATGCAGCGCACACACGTAACATTCTTTACATGAGTATTGAATGTCACACTCAATACTGGAATGAATAACACTAATTTGGAAACCCTCGGCACACTGGACGCTAAGAGGATGTCGAGTGTTGGCATTGCACCCATATTATGCATGTGTGGGTCTAGCAGTATTTTGGAAACAGGCCTGTAATTTAATGCAGCCAGAGTCAGTTTGATAGCTCAAAAAGCTTGTAGTTTATAAATAATTCCATGTTGGTCGTGCGTAGTTAACACTGGTGAGGAAAGACACATTCCTTCATGGCAAAGTTGTTCTGCTCGTGATACAATAATAATATTGCAGAACAGCACCACTCTGTTCTGCATTATTGTCAAACTCTCATAGTCAAGTATTTCCATTGCACCCATTAGCTGTAATTTTGGACCCATGCCTATAGTTTCATGCTGCCAGAGACATGTGTACGTGTGCCAGCTAGCAAACTAGACCAATTTTAGGTATAAATTATTGCCAAGTATTGTAACCCCCATTTTCCTATGGACTTATAAGGAAGCTCTGAAAACATTAATTAATGTTTCCGTGGCTGGCTTCTATGTGCTTGTAATGTGTGCATTAATTGTTTTATCAGTCTTTGCAGCTTCAGTCATACCAATTGAAACTTACAATGACCTCCAATGATGTAAAGGAATACATTGAATCTGTACTAGATGAGGTATGTATAATTATTGTACTTTTGTGTATACACTGAAGTATGCACTGTATGCCTTAACACTTGCAAAAATTTGTACTTGTGCGCAAGTTTTTGAGAATATGACTGTTTTTAACCTGCAAATGCAGACATATCGCAAATCATGCAGACACCTCGACAGCTATGTCCAGAGAATGCTGTCTCTCTGTGAGTCTCATGTCAATCTCAACGACGTCTCCACATCTCACGGGACACTGCTGCATGCTGCTGCAAAATTCGGTCTGGCTGAGTCAGCCAGGGAGATGCTGGCCCAGGGCTACTGCAACATGCTCCTGGAGAATCACAGCAACCAGCCCAACACCTGGCCTCTGGTGTATGCAGTGATCCACAACCAGTGGTCCACTGTGAAAGTCCTGTTGGAAACCCTGAGCACAAGGTATTAAGGGGTAACTGGAATACAGACACGCAGAGAAGGAAGTTGGTGTATATTGTATATGATAGGTTATTGAAACTATCTTAGTAGCACAGCCGCAAACTCCAAATTTGTTTGTTTTCATTCATTCTCTCTTCTATACATGTGGTCTAAACTCAACTTAATGTGTAAATTTATATACATTATAGTGGCGTAGCAGAGAGCAAAAATGACTCTCAGACAACCAATTAGATAAATTTGGACAGTTTGCAGCTGCATCAACCTGTGTGTTAATTTCGTTTCTTACCAGCCAGAGCAAGACACAGATTAGAGTGCTGCTACAGACAATTGATTACAAGGACATTCTGCAACAGCTCTCTGACTACAGGCGGCCGTGGTGGCTATGTCGCAGATTTCGACGTGGAGATCTTCAGGAGAAGTTGCAAAATGAAGGAGTGAGTTGATTAATTATAGACATATTCAAAGTGTCCTGTCACATGCTATTGTTTTACAAGCTTTTTTTGCTGATGTCCTTCAGCTTCGCTTTCCTGATGTTTGTGTTATTCTGCAAAAGTTGTGGTGACGACTCATTGCATTTTGCATGTTAACCTCATTCTTTCCATTATTTCTGATGTGTGTGCTGTTGTGAGTGGTGATTATTGCACTTTCATACAAATTATAGTGTCATATCCAGGCTCCCCCCCCTGCTGCTCACGATTTAGTTAATGGCGTTTCAACCCCTTTCAGAAAACGGATTTACGACACAACACATTTGCAAGGCATGGACACCCTTTACTAGAAACTTTTCAAGCCACCACTGAGCACATTCACTCCCTCATGCATGACATTCTTTGAGGTAAATCTCAGCAACATTATTATACCCTTTGGACGCCATGGGTATATCTCCTTAACTAAGCGGATATTTTGGTATAAAGTATTATTGCCAAGTATTGTAACCCCCATTTTCTTATAGGACGCTCTGAAAACATTAATGTGTCCGTGGCTGGTTAAGTGTTAAGTGCACTTCATGTTGTACTTTCAGAGGCTTCTTCTGCTGAGGTCCGTTCTAGACACAATGGTGAAGGGTTGTGAAGTTGATCCAGCCCTCTTATTTGACGATGAAACTGATGACATCACAAGCGACCCAGGCGGTGGAAGGACTGTGGGTGCAGCAGAGTCTGGTGATACCAGACACACAGACCAACAAGATGGTGTGAATGTGATTGAAACTGAGAAAGAGAAGAGGTCACTTTACAGGCTGATATCAGAAAGTGATGTTGAGGTATGTAAATTCCATTTTTAGATCCTGGGTTGCTCAATTGTACTAATATTAGCAGACTATTTGAGGGATAAGCTTTGGTATCAAAATTTTATGCAAGCATCTGATTTGCGACAGTAGCTACTATTATAAATGGCTGATAAAGTGGGTCGATTTGAAAAATTTTCACTCGTACTCAACACCCTGATAAGACTGACACGCGGTGTATGTATAGGTGATTCGCGCATAACTCAAGGCAATTTGGCAAGCAAAGCAAGCTTACCCAGTCGTAACTAACATGGGTTATGCATGAAAGTGCAAACAACTGCAGGGCGCACCCTGGAACTCGCTTATGTTCACTCACCAATGTATATAATATATACTTATGATTACTCTATTCTCTAAAGGAGCTGAAGTGTCATCCTTCATTTGCAGCCATCGTGCAGCACAAATGGAAGCAAAATTATTATTCCGTTTGGCATGGGTAAATCTACATTTACCTACATGATTTTCTCGACATTAAAAGTCATAATTACAGGGCACTGTTTGGAATATACATAGTCTTTATCGTCCTTTTCACAATGGCATCCATTCTGGCCGCTCAGTCATCAGATCCTCGATCATACACATCCCCAAGGGACTTTGTGAGGCTTTTTATACTGGAGATTACGTGCTTGCTCTATATCCTAGTGGTTCTTGTTGGTGACTCAATACTCTTTATGTAAGTTTACTAAAAAATATTAATATTCAAGAAAACTGATTTGTTGTCATGATAGAGATGAAGTTCGCAATTGTGTTCATTCACGAAAGATGATTTTCGACTTACTAATAGAAAAGTATGTTGTTTATTAGTAATGGCGGTGTGTTCTGGGTGTCAAGTGTTCAATCAACTGCAGGATAAGATTGTACTTCCTTTTCGAACTGTTGAGGTATTTGTCCATTTTTCTCATCATTGTGCTGCGGATTGCCAACAATCCTCACCAATGGTGGTTGGTGTCTCTTGCCATCATACTCTGCGGACTTAGAATCTTCCACTATGCCACTGTATTACCGTATGTTACGTAACTTGTAACGAACTGCACTCAATCTTATTTCCTTGTTTTCAGTTTCATGGACAAGTATGTTGGGACTCTCATTCTCATGGCGAAACATGACCTACCGAGACTGCTTGGAGTGTTTCTTGTCATCAACTTTTCTTTCGGCACTGGCCTCTACTTTGCTCTTGTGGACCATTACAATGATGACAATGTTGATGATGCTAATAACAATTCTACTAGGTAAGGTTGTATCATAAAAACTTAGTGTGCTTTTGCTTTAATTATTTCATTGATGTGGTTAATGTGCTTTTTGGGTCTGCAAGCCATAACTCTCTCGCACTTCACTCACTTCTTTGCTCTCTTTTATTGTCTAACTAATGTATGATGAGTGTCTGTACCTGCTAAAAGTAGTTAGAGGATTTATGCAGGGATGTTACCCTGCATCTTGTGTGTTAATGCCTTTTAGAACAGGAATGTTAAAATCCAGTTAAAAACCTTTATTTTAGTTGACACTATCTCTATCTATTGCTTCCCTGACTTTTTCACGTGACAGCCCTATATCCCCACAATTGTTGCTCCATCGCCTTGTTTTTGGAAAAGCCCATTTTTATTATGCAAATACCTATGCCCAGTTGGATTTTGAATACCAACAAATGATAACCATATTATCTCAATCATACACACACATTCACACTGGTTTTATACAGTGAGGTGTATAATCTGTGGCTGACTGGAGTGCAGATGGTTATTGAGGGAAGTGTTCTCACATACATTGGTAGAGATGGCTTCAAGTAAGTCAGGGCGATAAAGACTATGTATATTCCAAACAGTGCCCTGTAATTATGACTTCAGGCTCTAATAATGATTTCAAACGGTGCTTTTATTAAGCAGCAAATATCTTCATAGGGCTTTTATTTTATTAACGAGAATGAACTCTTTGCTAAGAATCACACTGCTGCATTCCCTTACTTTCTTCATTTATACTGCACGAAAAATATATGAATATTTGACATTGACCAAAAGTAATTTAACTTTTAAGCAAGTAGCAAACAAGCAGTAAGCTGAAACTAATAGTTTCTTGTGTTATCCCTTTCTACATAACACAATGAACCTGAGCAGTTTTATTATACCCAAATTTGAATTCTTCTTTTCTCTCTTATCTAGCACACCAGGACAAATTGTCTACTGGCTGTTTGTCTTCTGTGTGACTGTGGCATTTGCTGCCATCCTTATTGCTCAGTTTGAGACCAGCTTCAATACCCTCTCTAACAGAGCAAAGATGAACATCGTACTCAAAAAGTTGGAGATCATGCGCAAGATGGAACGCTTCCGTGATGTGTTTGGATGTGTCTTTAGAAAAATACCTTTTGTGAGTTATTTTTAAGTTGCAAGTTATAAGAATAATAACATTATCTTTGCAGATGACGTTTACTCATGGGAATGAGACAGATTCCGAAGAATCTGGCGTTAGTGAAAATCTAATTTAGATTCACACATACAGATGTCCTTTTTCTGTTACAGGAGTCTCAAAAGAGTATTAGAAGAACAGCATGGGATGATCTGGGTATGTTTATTTACAGTATTGGTAAAAGCTCTATGAATAGATGGTGTAAGTCAAATCTTACATGCAAACACATACATACTAAATGGAAATGCTAAGCTAAAGGCCTTCAAAACCTACAAGAATAAAAACACAGCCATACCACTACATATTAATCCCAACATGTTGATAAAGTGTTTGAATGCGACCTAGGGCACCCTCTTCTTTTTTCCTTCAAAGAGCTGTGCTAGGTGTAGTTGATATGTTTGTTGTGCCTTTGCCTTTCTACCTCGTGTTTTCACATGGAATAACCTGTGCTTTATGTTACACCCAGCCACTTTAGTCTGATTAGCAATCCTAGATGGCATAGTTTGCCTACAAGGCAATCCTTGTACGAGAAGCTTTCAAGACCCTGATTTAAGACGTCAGATTATTTTGGTAGGGTTTAAGTGCTTTTTGCAAGGTTATTTGCCTATTAGTCTCAGTGTAGGCATCTCCCCCTTTCCTCTTTTTCATCATGTGACATCACTACATTCTCCTGCACTTCAAATTTCCCACTTGTTATGTATTCATGTCTTCACAGTTATGCATGCAATATGAATTATTCTACCCTTTAATTTACATTTCAGAAAACCTGGAAGTGAAAGACTATGTTGTTTCTAAACTGAGTAGAAAGCTGGCAGAAAATGATAAACGAGGTATATAGTAGCTAAATGTTGTCACTCAACACTCAATATCTTGATTTTTATCACAGTCCAAGCACTGGAGATTAAGATGGAAAAAATTTATAACCTCCTACTCTCTATGAAAAAGGAATGATATTTTACTGATATCCATGCTGTACTCAATTTTGACTTTCTTAGTCTCTTAACAAAAATGTCTATTATTTTTATCATTGGGGGTTGCCTCATTTTTCTCGTCTCGCTAAAAACATCAGACAAGGATATAGGGATGGTGTCATGTAGCTCTGTGTGTCTTAGCTGTGTAAGTGACCCCTTGTTTTGAGCCATTCGTATATCCCCCTTCAAAAAATGATTTTTACCGCTTGTATTGTCATTCTACTGAATAACCAACACTATTTTTGCCTAACCCGCTCTCTCACATGTGGCCTGGAGTCGTGTGCGTAGTTCTTGACCCAGCATAAAGATACAGGGAGGAACACCTGTGGTGGCATGAGGTGTTTTTCTATAGCGAAACAAAAAAGCCTGCAGAGCACATTTGAGGTTTGCACCTTTCTTGATTCCGGCCTTGACTCCCTGCTTCACTGCTTGCACCATACGCACAGCTGCTCCGTTACTTGCCTGATGGTGGTCTGTATGTGCTTTACCCCATTCATGGCCAGCAAGAAGGGCAAACTCTTTTGAAGTGAACTGGGGGCCATTGTCAGAGACTAGTTGCTGAGTGATAAATGGGCAAACATTTCCCGAAGAGCCTCAATCATTTTAGCTGAGTTAGTGGTCATAGTCCGAGCTTCCGGCCATTTTGAGTGAGCATCAACGACTACCAGCAGCATTTTCCCTTGAATCGGACCTGCATAGTCTATATGTATCCTTTCCTAGGGTGACAATGGTCATGCCCACAGGTGAAGTGGAGCCTTGGCGGGAAGATTTCGGGCGACTGCTCTACCTCGTGATCTAAGCCTGGCCACCATATGCATGACTTCGTGCAGTTGCCTTCATCTGCACACTCGCACGTAACCGGATCTATCAGCCTCACCTCTCTCGTGCCTGACCTCACCTCTGACTGTGAACTTAACACTAACGTTCTTCACAGCACTTGTCTTTACTTACTCTCAGCAGTAATTGGCGAGCGCATCCACTATCACCGGGGGCATTATGAACTTTATGAACTTGATATCGCATATGAGCGAATTCTCACACGGACGACTGAAGGTGTGTATTGGGTCTTTGGGAACATGTATAGCTAGAGAGCTTAAATAATGTGTGCTCGCCCTGCAGGTTGTAAGTGTGTTAGGAGTGCTCTACTTTGCAAAGTAATAAGGAGTTAGAGTATTAGGGGAAAGGGTAAAGCAAAGTTCTGTCCGGGATGTGTAGCTTAGGGTGTGTAAACTAGACTTCAAGTAACAAAGCCTGAGTTGGTTCTTTCTCTTCCTTCCTGGCATGTGTTTTGATAATCTTCATTACTAACGAGAAAGTACGATTCTTACTTGACAGATGGAAAAGAGGGGCAGGGTATGTGGCATTACCACAGGGTGGTAGCTAGGTAGAAATTGCAAAGAACTCTTAAAACCTGATTCACACAGACATCATCGTGATCAGCAATCGTAGTCACTACTGTCTTTAGAATCTCATTGATAAGTTGTGTGATAGTGTTCTGGTCTCCTAGTCTTGATCAAGTGTACACAGTGGTCAATGCCAAGTCTCACTACCTTAGGGCAGTTTCTGAGTTCCATACGGCAGTTTATGATTTGTACACAGAACACTCCTCATAACTGGGGAAGGATTGGAGGCATCAAAGAGCCGCTAACATGCGTATAACGGTAGTTAGTAGCTACTCTTCACTCTGATCTCAGTCACTAATGTGAAGCTATAAGTTTCAGGACTTTGTTGTGCATCTGTCAATGCAGGAACCTTTGCATATCTCTTGGTCTAAGCACATGGGTAAAAGGAGATAGATCTAGGTGGTCACTATACTAATGAAAGGTGCTAACCCTCGGCGCAATGGGCGTGAATAATTTGTATACGCGTGCTAAATTACGTGTAGCTACATAGTACTAAGCTGCTACATGTCATCATGGGCTGCTACATCCAATTGGAGGTCCTTGCTCACACTGTGCACATTCAGATGTCTGAATGGTGTAGGGAAGGAGCAGGATATTAACAATTTATTACTAGGCAGGCTGTGCCTCAGCAGCTAACCTGCAATGATTTTCTGCGGAGCCTTGTCGTCCCATGTGTAGATGCGGATGACGTTACGCTATACCGTACGCATTTTTACCGTTTTACTGACTCGTGGTCGCTTACCAGCTCGCTGGCTGAGAGTCTGTCTACACTGTAGCACGCGGGAGTCGATACTCGTTCTGCGTTGCAACTTCTGGTGCCTCCAAGGTACGCAGCCAGTGCTAATTTGCATATTAGCTCCTTCACTTTCTTTCACGCCATAACTTTCGAACGCAGCATTTTTACCAAAATCGCTATTATTAAAATAAAGCCAGTGTGGCACTGAATCCGTTGGTATCGTTTTTTGGCCGTCTTGTTGCGCGTAGCGGGAGAAAACGTGGTAACAGACAAGACGGACGGACAAAATGACAAACCAAGCACTATAACCCTCGCTGCGCATGCGCGCGAGGGTTAATTAGTTACTCACTGGAGCTCTACCTACATTCCACAAGAAATTGCAGCAACTGTTCCCTTAGGTGTTAATCCTTGCTACACCATGCCTAGCTTACTATGTGGTAAGCTGAAAGAGGCAGTAATCTTATCAAAATTGGGAAGTTGTACGGTCAACATTTCTAGATCCATAGCTACCAATCCTTAATTTACCCTTAGGCATCCTCTGGAGGCTTACTACACCAGCCTATATGAGTGGTTATGCCAGCTGGAAGAGACAGCATTCTAACTGTACTTTGAAAATCCCCAGTTATATGTAGCACTTCCAAGAATGCATAATTAAAAGATGGCTCTAGTGTAGCTTCTGGCAGTAATAAAGATGGACAGGTCTTATATTATCCTGGTCTTGTGCCTAGTGGCACTGTCTAAAGTGCAACTTGGGCAGTCTCAGTGCATACAATGAGGTTTGACATCATAATTCACTGGAGACTGTTGGGTGTTGGCTACAGTCGTGAGGATTGCTGCAGTTGTAGAGGAAGCTCTGAGTCCAGTCTTGAATGAGATGAAGGAAGACATTAGCTGTATGAAGAGTGGAATATCCAATCTCAGCAAGACAGTTAAGTCATTTAGCTGAGGAACTAGAAGCTCACAAGAAGGATACTACTTTTGAAGTGGCTCGACATGAGTCCACAGGAGGAACAACATTAATTGGTCTGTCGAACGAAACTCTTCTACCTGAAAACGTGACATGCAGAGGAACCGAGTAGACTGTCCAGGCTACAGACTGTTTAATAAGACTTCAGACTATTGTCTGGAGGGAAACAACCAAGCTGGAGTTCGCTGTATTGAAGGTCCAGCCTCTAAAGTCTTGTTCAGTGATTGTAGCGAAGCTAGCTAATAGTGCAGTCTCAATGTCCATAATTTGTGCCTCGATACTTCTCAGTAGTTTTGACCTTTGAGAAAGCCCCTCAATAGGATGTAAGTCTGGGGAGTACGGAGGGAGAAAGTGCACTATAACTCTGATATCCCTCAGAAAGGCAACAACCTCTGGACGGTGGTGTTTTGAGCAGTTCTCAAGTATATACAACAACTGATCTAGATCTGTGTCCATCGAAAAGGCACAGGTTTGGAATAAGGAGAGATTATTTAAATGAAGTTACGATTGCGCTGAACAACACAGAACTGAGAGACAAAACTGAAAAATGATCCTTTTGAACCAACGAGAATGAATACCACTTTGATGCAACACACCACTACATGTGGAGGTGTTGGTTGGAGATGTGTCGTATACCTGAATATGACAGATTCCAAAACCAACTGCCATTCTGGCTGGCAACTCACTGGATACTCCAAGATAACTTGTGGTAGAGTTAGTACCGGATGGAGGACTTGTGACTCAGTTTTCTTTCCTATAAGTGGAGGACCATACAGTCAGTTGTGTGGTAAGATCTGACCCACCAGTATGGATATCCAATTTTCTGCCCATTTGCACATCCCTCTGCATTGGTGCACCCTATTCTACATTTATGTCACTGCAGATGCCTTCCTTGGGAATGATGAGGGACAAAAACAACAATTGACAGTGCCTACTTCAGTGGTGTGGCTATACTGCACGACAACACATCTGGACATTTGCTAATGGTGCACAGGAGAATTACATAACACAATATGTCATGCAGAGTACGTATGTCCATGTGATACAACAGGTGACAATCAAAGACATACGCATCCCATCGACTGTTGGAGAATATTATTTCTGTGAGTCTGGAAGTGTATACAGCAGTCCTAATTCACCTAATAGATTTTACCCCAATGACACTCTCTGGGATAGTGAAGACTGTAACTCCACCAGTGCATGTTGCTCTCTCTACAATCCTCCATATTTCACTAAAACCCTCAGCCAGGCTACTTGAACTGATAATGTGTCTCGATAATTACGCGCAATATGACAAAATAGCAGAGGAACTGGTTGAGCTGCATGTTACGCAACTGCTGAATAACTGTAGCCTATATGGTCGTGAACTAGCCGTGGACATTGTTCTCTCTATATACTTAGTATGATTAAACATCAATTCGAAACTTCATTAGTAAACTTATGCATAACATACCTACACCTGTTCAGATGTATCACTGCACCAATAAGCAGTTTGCACCACCCCCATCATTACATTCGTTATGCTGTACCGTAGCTACATGAATTCAGGTTTTGGCTCGGTACTGGCAACGCCTTGTGGGGATGAATCTCATTAGTTCAAAACCACAAGTGCTGCGCTCTTTATAAACTCGTGATGCCAGAGAGAGAAGTTGCGGTATGCTTTGCTGATGAGGGCCAACAAGCCCGAAACAGCTGTCCAGAGCTCCACATCTTTTTTCTGTTGGCATCACATGGTCTATTGTTACATGGGTTACAAACTGCTGCTCATTTGCTTTCCATTTTGGTTGCACACATAATTATTATCTCCATACACTGAAGAGTAGCTCATGAAACTATCTGTGGAGGGTTGAGGGCCTGGACTGGGGTGAGCTGAGAAGTTACAATGGATGGACACTGAGAGAGTCTCAGTTCCATTCTGTGGTGGAGCATCATCCATCTGTTCTCTTGCATATGACAGCAGAGTCGAACTAAACTTCAGTGAATTGGATGTGTTTCGTGTCCTCAGATCCCTTGATGTCTCAAAGGCCATGGGATGTGATGGTATTACTCCAAAGATACTAAAACATTGTGCTCTAGCTCTCTACCAACCTTTCCGCCATCTGTTTTCCCTGAGCATATCTCAGAGCTATCTTCCTATCAAATGGCGCACTCATTCAATAAAACCAATTTTTTAATCTGGTGATAAGAATTCTGTTAGGAACTATAGACCAGTCTCTTTGTTGTCCGTTGTTTCAAAGGTTCTGGAGAAACTTGTCTACAGCAGTATTGTGGATTTCATTACAAATTCTATCTCTGATTATCAGTTTGGATTTTACGCGGGCGTTCTACTTTGCAACAGTTATTGATTTTCTTCAACACTATACTCAACCCTTCGTCTCAAACGGATGTTATATACTTGGATTTTAGAAAAGCCTTCGACTCTGTGGCTCATAACGAGCTTCTGTACAAGCTATGGAACTTTGGGATCACCGGCAATCTCTGGTTATGGGTGAGAGCTTACCTGACAAATAGAGTCCAGTACGTGTCTATTGGTAAATCTTCCTCAATTACTTCACCTGTTCTTTGGGGTGCCGCAAGGCATTGTTCTCAGTCCACTCTTGTTTCTTATTTTTGTGAATGATTTGCCCTCTACTGTATCGTTTTGCAAGGTTTTACTCTTTGCCGATGATGCCAAGTGTATCATGCCCATCTCTTCACTACAAGACTGTATCAATCTGCAAAGTTATCTATCTAGGCTAGGCTAGGAGTGGTGGAACCTGTTTTTGAATGAGAAAAAGTACTGCACTGTTCATTACAAGTCTCGTTTGTCTAGTACACTTAAATATCACTTGAACGGTCAACAAATACCTTAAAGCTATGGAAAAGGACCTTGATCTGATTGTTTCTACTGATTTTAATTGGCGATCTCACTACCAATCCATTACTTCCAGAGCATACAAAGTGCTAGGACTGCTGCGGAGAGTTTTATCTGGCTCCGTCTCTGTGTCTGCCAAGTGCTCCTTGTATACTTCTCTGGTCCACTCCCAATTGCTTTACTGCTCCCCTGTGTGGCATCCATATCTCTTGAGGGATATCAGGTGTCTCGAACTTGTCCAGCGAAGGGCAACAAAGTTTATTACCAATGATCCTGATATGGATTATAGACATCGGTTGATACATCTAAAACTGCTGCCCCTAATGATGGAATATGAAATTGCTGACATTATGTTCTTAGTGAAGTCCATCTGACCACTTTAGGTTATGTGATTTTGTTCAATTTTGTAGTTACCCAACTAGAGCGTCTTCCAACTTGAAACTAAAGCATTCTCTATGTAGGACCGAATTGAATAGGAAGTTTTATTTCAACCGTATTCCCCGACTCTGGAACTCGTTACCCTCACTTGACATCAACCTCCCTCTTTCTGTTATGTTTTTGTAATTATACCCTCAAGAATGCTGCCCGCCCTCTGTATCCACTTAGCTAGTACATGCTTTTTGGGGTAAAATCTGGAATACGTCAATTTTTGTGGGATATTTTATGTCCAATTTTGATTCTAACAATGTGTGCTATTTATGTCCTTGTCAAATTAAAAGTGTTCTAAGCTACCAGTCAACATGCATTTTGGTTTTTCTTTGATGTAATGTTGTTTGTGTTGTGTTTAGATGTTTTTTTCTGGCTACTGGCTCTATGCCAGTTGTCCTTCAACACAGTCTTTAAGATTATTTCCTGTTAGTAAGAATAACAGCTAACATAATTGCAATTATTAGCACGATAGTGATTATTGCAGCAGAGATCCACAGGACGAGGCAGATGGCAGGCCTACAGCACCTTCTTCGAGGTCGGTAAAAGAAAACTCCTTCTTATTGCTGTGTTTTCGAGAGAAAGATATTCACTTTGCAATACAGTCTCCAACAAAATATGTTGCTTACTCTATTAGCTGGTAGAGTGGTGTGAACAGAGCTGGCTGTGACTATATGACAATAAGACTCACATTAAAGGCATGCTGTAAGGTGCTAGTTCTCTTACCTAATTCCTCTCCCATTGAACGTGTCATACTATGTAAGTCTGTAAATATGTCTTTAATATCACGGAGGTCCCTGTACATGTGAACCGTCCACTTGATTGTACAATACTCACACTAATGCATAAATAATGCACGGCAAGGGCTCACTATACCTTTCAATATCGGAGAGCTGTTGAGCTTCTCTTTCCTTCTGGAGAACTTCTTCATGCAAGTTTCCCTGGTAGTAGCTCTGGCCAGATACCACACCGGGTCTATGATCATCTGTGGATGGGAATATTCAATATGGCAACCTAGTAGATTTAAGGGATTAAGAACAAAAGAACATGCATACATTGTTCACTATGTCTCTCTTCGGTAGATCCATAGTTCACAGGACCAATCCCTGACATAGCTGCAGAGATAAATCTACTCAGTCATAGTTTCAGGCATCCATTAGATTGGCCATGGTTATGACAGTGGAATAGGTAGCTACAATGGACAATATCACAGGAAGATGGCCCTAAAGATTAATAAACCCCCTGGTCTCCATGGATTAATTGCTGGCTTCCATTGTTAGCTACATGGTGTGTCATGTGTAAGCAGTGCCAGCACAGATAGTTCTCTTCTCTGCAATAATCATTGATCAGAATGCTAGCTAATGACTTACCGTGTGTCTGTTGTATCCTTATTGCTATGGACTCCAGTCCCACCGTGTTTCTGAGAATATGCATGAACACATTGTACTCTCTAGCATCCCCCTCTATTCTGCTCAACACTGCTTTCATCAGTTCCTTAGGTGATAGCTCATCACCCAAGTGGATCCACTGTTGGTTGTGGAGAGCCATGGCCAAGCTGTCTCTGGCAGACTTGTTTGTCTTCAGGACTGAGATGATGGGAGAAAGATGAGCTTCTACCCTCAGATACTCCACTGACTTGGGTTCAACTCCTGACTTGGGCCTCTTCTTGAACATGGCACAACACTGCTCGCCCAAAGTCCTTACTGTAGTATAATGTAGTGATAGTTTGCAATAACTTCCTGCTTCATCTAAAGGGTCATGTGATGCAATCTGTGTGGGTAGCTACTACCAATGGTAGTTTATGATATGAGTGTAAAGCAGTCAAACAAGTCTGGCAACTAAGTGTGTGTGTGTGTGTGTCCTGGTGTGAGCGTGTGTTGTGTGATTTGTGAAGAGAGACAAGGGAGAAGAGCTAAGGAGAAAGGGGGAGAAACAGGTCTGGGATGGCTTTTGTTCACATCGCCCCATCGCCCAGGCATCAACCCAACATTCATGCGTTATTGGCCTAGGGACTTACTACCCCACAGCCGTCTTGCAGAGGAGAGTCACTATGAGTTATTTGTCTGGTCATCAGGGAAGTAGCTACCTATTAATTTCATTGTAGGTCAACAGTCCCTTTAACCTTCTGATCCCAGGTCAACTCTGGTCTGGAATAGGATTGACCACTCCCCAGCGAGGAGTCAGCCATCATTAAAATGTGTATATACTTGTGCTCGTATCTATACGTGTTATACTGTACTATCTACACTTCCTTTTCCGAAATACAGACATATATAGTCTGGCTAGTTATGACTATTACTAAATAGTGGTTTTGGCACAGGATGTGCATACTCTTGTAAAAGCTGATTTCTGATTTTTATACATATTACAAATGTGTGTGTATGTGTGTGCTCATGTGTTTATTATTATTATTATTATAATATTATTATTATTCTTCAGCTTTACAACACAGTTTACCATGAAGAAGTTTCATGAAGAAGGTGAGAGTGACTTTTCAGTGTTACTGACAAGCATAAAAACTGATCATGATAATATGACAAATTTTCTATAATTATACCATTCGTGCCCCTATAAGGGCGGGTAGGTGATTGCCAGCTACACAGTAGACGAGGCTGGAGCTAGAGGGGAGGGCTAATTACAAACATTAATTTTTGGATTTACCCTAAACCAAGTCTATGTTCAACTCCTATCATTATTCAGCAACACCAGCCAGACCTGGTAGCGTAAGTTGCAACCATAAGGTGTCAATCAGCAGTATAGTGGAGTGCCCGAAGCGCTGTATTTAGGTGATTGAGTCATGAATTTTCTTACATAATAGTCATAACCCAGATACAATAAGTAGTTGCATAGAACAATGTGTTGTTTCAGTAGACATTATAATGTCAGTGGTTGTACCCTCTGTGTCTCCATCCTTGAGATAGAAGAGACACTTAATATCAACTAGCTACATTGTCCAAAACCATGTTCTTGTGGTTGTTGTTACCCTCGGCGCGCATGCGCAGCGAGGGTACTGTAGTTGGGTCTGTCTGTCTGTCTGTCTGTCTGTTTGTCTGTTGACTCTATATGATATATCTCACTCCTCGAACGTCTGTTCGTCCCAGAAAAACGATTCCATCTACCCAACGGGCGACGAAGGTCAGAAAATAAAGGCGGTTTTCTCTGAAAACGCTCCGTTGCTAAGCTAGAGCGGGAAAAAGCCAATATGCAAATACACAACGGCTTACTACGGCATGACCGATCTGCGTGCTTTGCGTACCTCGGAGGCACCAGAAGATAGGGGCTTGCCCCCTTCGTAGTAGTATATAAAAATGAGAGGAGACAAGTAAATAAAAATTCCTGCGGATTAAAAAAAGAGTGCATATAGGGATCGTATAAAAAGGTCGGACAAGCAAAGCAAGCAGACTGCTTTGATCAAATCAAAACAGATATACATTAGGTGCCCTAATTAACCCTTGCTGCGCATGCGCAGCGAAGGTTACAATACGGCGTTGTGAGGTGCCTGGCTGGTCAACTGAGCAACTTAGCAGCCCTGCTAGACACAAACACATGGCATCTGTCGGTTCTTGGATGTCATGGCAGGATGGGTAGCCCCTTTGGTTTGTCCCGCTGACAGACCTGTGACTGTTTCTCACCTGTACCTGCCTGCTCACCTAAAAACCTGACCATGGATCCTTTAGTTTCTCCACATGGCGTGGGGGACTCCTATGACGGTGTGAGGTGCCTGGCTGGTCAACTGAGCAACTTAGCAGCCCAGCTAGACGCAAACACGTGGCATCTGTCGGTTCTTGGATGTCATGGCGGGATGGGTAGCCTTGCGCCGCCGACAGATCTGTGACTGTTTCTCACCTGTACCTGTAGTGGTTTGTGTATTCCACTTCCTGTAACCCAGGATAATGAATTTCAATTCTTATTCTTATTCAGTTGGTTTGTCTGTCTGTCTGTGTCTCTTTGTCGAGGCTACGAGGCGGCCTAGTAGCGATACCAGTGGCTACGGAGCCTAAAAAGAATTTTCCTCAAACGACTGCGTTGAAAACAAAATCGACCTGATCTGCCCGCTGTGTGTACCCTGGAGATTGACAAATGAAAAGCACTAAAGTGCAAACCCTCGGCGAACTGCGCATGTGCGGTACCACTAATTGATGGGCTGGGCTTTTTATGCGCTAGTAGCTCGCGGAAAGTCTGGCACGGGCTAGCTACAGTAGTAAATAGCATGCGGGAGTCGATACATGCCCTTCGTTGTGACTTGTTGTGCCTTCAAGACACACAGAGCGAACTTTAGAACGCAGTAGTTTTACGAAAATCGCCTTTTTAAAAATCAACCCAATGTAGCACTGAACCCGATCATATCGCTATTTACCTGATTTCGTGCGCGCGGTGGCAGAAAACGTGGTAACAGACAGACAGACACACTTCCGAAACAACTACCGTAACCCTCGCTGCGCATGCGCGCTGAGGGTTAATAAGGGCGTATTGCCCGCGTCAACTCTCGATCCGCGAGCTATACTAGCGTGGAGACTATGTACTGTAGCGTGCTTTGCTTGAGAAATTGGATGCTGTGGGTCTAATCAAAATGTATGGGCATGATCCATCACCGGTTAGCCCAACAAACGGGGATTTGGGGATTTTATTGTCGGTATTATCAAGGAAAAATCTGGATGGTTGTAGGTATGTACGTAAGAGCGTGGCGAATGCAGGGCATTTTTGGCGAGCGAGAGCATTTCACGAGCCATCCTAGCTTATTAAAAGGTTAGTAATATCACTCCATTCTCCATTTAGCATCAGCAATTGCTGCTGAAATAGCACGTCTATCAAGCAACTCTGGCGTCCTACTTACTATCTACACTAATTTTGGTGCACTTAGTCTACGGAGCCATTCTGGCACGCTAGTGTACTGTAGTCTACGGAGCCATTCTGGCACGCTAGTGTACTGTAATCTATGAGCCATTCTGGCACGCCAGTGTACTGCAGTCTACGGAGCCATTCTGGCACGCTAGTGTACTGTAGTCTACGGAGCCATTCTGGCCATTCTGGCACGCTAATGTACTGCAATCTACGGAGCCATTCTGGCCATTCTGGCACGCTAGTGTACTGCAATATACGGAGCCATTCTGGCACGCTAATGTACTGTAGTCTATGAGCCATTCTGGCACGCTAGTACACTGTAGTCTACGCCGCCATTCTGGCACGCTAGTGTCTATGTGCCATTCTGGCACGCCAGTGTACTGCAATCTACGGAGGCATTCTAAGATAATTATTGGCGAGCGGGAGCGAGCTAACCTAGTGGTACGAATGGCGCGGATTTTCTATATCTACGACCGTACGTCGTCCAACTGCGCATGCTCCAGGATTACGCGCTTCTTTTTATCCGAAAGGATTTCAAAATTTCACATGCTGCCTGCCTTTGATGATGTCGTGCTTATACATGTGCGTACAGTCCGGGGAAGATGCTCTTCGTCGTCGAAGAGAGAGGGAAAGAGAACATCGTGCCCGTGAGACTCCTGAGCAGAGAGGCTCTTTTGTATGAGCGTCGCTTTCGTGATAGGGAACGCGCAATCGTCTATTTGCTAGCATTCGCTGCGCTCTTCGATACCTGACCGAGGCTGTCTATACCTCCTTCCAATCTTCGTGATTCTAAGGTTCAAGTTGTAGGATGGCTCATGTAGATAGAGTCATTGTGTGGTCGCTCCCGCTCGCCATAAATGCCATGCATTCGCCTACTAGTTAATTTTTCAAGTGATGTACACAGTGATTATTAACCCTCGGCGCGCATGCGCAGCGAGGGTTACAGTAGTCGTTCTCTGTCCGTCTGTCTGTCTGTCCGCGCGAGTACAGGCTACGAGGCGGCCAATAAGTGGCACCAACTGGTTGTGAACGACGAGAAGATTTATATAATGTGGCGATTATCCCGAAACGACTGCGTTCCAGAGATATGGCGTGAAAAAAGCTTACGCGAGCGATTCATTGCGCACGCGCGTATGTGGGTGTATCGTTTTGCCGACGCGAGCGATACATCGCGCACGCGCGTATGTCGTTTGCCGGAGTATGCGCATCTGTTAGATTCCGCGTGGTTGTTATTACAGTTGACCTTGGACGAGCAAGCGGTTTTTCTCTCCTCAGTAATTAAGTTAATCTCTGTTCTCGATGGACAACAAATTGAGCAAGGTATGTCCGCAATGTTCATAATCGTATATACTGGGCTTACCGCGACCTGATCCGCTCGCTCTGTGTACCTTTGTGGCTCAGAAAGTCACAACGAATGGACTCCCGCATGCTATCTACTATACTGTAGCTAGCCCGTTTCAGACTCGGGACGTGAGCAGTATCGCAGTTCGCCGAGGGTTTGCACTTTAGTGCTTTTCATTATAATAAGTCTTCTTGTGGTTGTAACATTGTTGGAGTCCCTCAGAAATTGTAATCATCATTGGGGCTCCTCCCTCCTGTGGTCCCTGGAGAACAGATAAATAAGAATATGATCTCTTCTGGCATTAGATATGATGTTTATTATAAGGAAATGTTATAGGTATTTTGAGGTATAATCTTCACCAAGCAACCAGGAGTGGACTGTCTCTTCACCATTTGGACTACCTTCACCTAGTCCTGGGGCTAGATTGTGTGCGCCTGACATGGAGTAACATGATGTGGAGTAGGAATTACTTGTGAAGTATAATACTAGGATGCCTGGAAAAGTAGCTCGCAAAAAGCCGCCTTCTAGTAACAGTACTGCTTCTACTGTCGCTACCGCCGCTCCAGCAAAGACCACCTGCGTTATCTGCTGCCAGTCACTTAATCTGGCTAAAGATGAGGCTCTATTTTGTTCTGGTCGCTGCCAGCAGTGGCTGCACCGTTATTGTGCGAGCGTGAGCGTGAATGCTTACCAGTCAATCAAAGCTGATGACAGTTCGTTCTCCTGCTACGACTGCTACCGACGGAGTAAGGATGAGCAGCTTTTGTTACTGGAGCAGTCAGTCCTTGATTTAAAAGCCGAACTTGCTCAGCTACAATCTACCCCGTTGGTGACTGGTCCAGAGGCTACTCACGCCGCTGCAGACCCTTCCCGGATGGCTGAACGCAGCTACGCTTCTGCCACTTCCACTGTGGGTGAGTCAAACCGCCGCGTGTCTCCTAGTTCCGCACCGTCGAGAGCTAGTGGGGGATATGCTGATAGGAAATTCAACATTATCCTGTATGGAGTGGATGAGTGCACCCCTGGCTTATCCAGAGCTAGCAGGCTGGAGTCAGACCTTGGCAATGTGGTGTCTGTTCTATCTTCACTCGACAGCTCAATACAATCCCAATCTATAAAGGATTGTTACAGGCTAGGCAAATTTCCCCCCATCTCAACACGCCCTAGACCAATTCTTGTTAAGTTGATCAGAGCCTCAGATGTGTCAAAGATATTGACAAAGAAGCGATTTATGTCTCAGCCTCACTTCATAAAACAAGATGTGCCTCTTGCGCAAAGAATGGTAGAAGCCGTCCTGCTAAAAGAGAGGTGGAAACTTGTCCAGTCGGGTGTGCCCCGAAATTACATAAGAATGAAAAATGGTCATCTCTACGTGAATGGGCAGTCACACGGCCATGTTGAAAACTCGAAGTACATTGGTGCCCCTTCCCAGTTGGAGATGGAAAGCCTCACAAGGGGCGCTTCAGAATCCAACAGCGCTGATGCAACTCCCATTGTTCCGTCACACAACCACTCGTCCAATACCTACAAGCCACTTGTACCTACTGACATCCCAACATCGCATCCTCACAATGTTGTGTACTCTAACAATCAGTCAACACCGCCTGCTCCAAATCTTAGCCCTCCATCCTCTCCCACTCCTGGCCAATCTGCTAGCAAGGACTCTCCAGGGCTATTAAATCTATCTTCCCAGGATCAGTGACTACCTGAGGTAAATGTGCGCGTATGTCTGTATAACATTCGTAGCATCGTCAATAAATTATCAAAATTCCAATCCTTTGTGTATGCTTCCAATTTCAATGTTTTTTGTATAACTGAGTCTTGGTTATCTAGTTCTATCTATGATCAAGAAATTCTTCATTCTAATTATGTTTTGTATCACAATGATAGGGTGTCTCGTGGTGGAGGTGTTTTAATCGCAGTTCATAATTCTATCCTTAGTTCACTGGTTTGTACTCCTTCAGATTGTGAGATTGTATCAATAAAAATATCATCTACTAATCTTATCTTATGTACAGTGTATATCCCACCCAACTGTAGCGAATCTTACTTGCTTTCTGTAATTCATTACTTGTCTGAACTTGTGTGTTCCTATGACAAATGTATTATTGTTGGTGATTTCAACCTCCCTGATATTTGTTGGTCATCTCTCACCTGTACTACTACCTCTTCTAGTCACTTCTGTGATTTCATATTTGATCATAATCTCACTCAACACATTTTGGTTCCTACGCATTATATGGGCAATACGCTCGACCTTGTTATTACAAGTCCATGTATTAACATTTCTGATTTATCAGTTGCTCATCCTGTACAGTCTATTTCATCTGATCATATGATCATCACCTTTGCCCTACTCTGTAATGTACCCCATCACATTAAGCATAAGTCAAGGTATGTATTTGATTTTTCTAAAGCAGATTATGATGCCATTTCTTCCTTTCTCTTAGATGTTGATTTCTCCTTTTGCTTTCAGAGTAATAATGTTGAATTCATTTGGACCATGATTAAGTCTGTTATATATCATGCTATGTGTGTGTACATTCCTAAGGTTCGTTTACGTTCACGGGAGGACCCTCAGTGGCTCGGTCCCACTCTACGTCATCATATTAATTGCCTCAAAACCCTACGCAGGAAATTCAAATCTCATCCCTCTACTGCCAGGTCATCAAGGATTGAGCTGTTGGAACATCAGTTGCAGCATCACTTGATCTCTGCCAAGTCTAAGTTCGAATCCCAGCTACTGATGTCCCTCCGCTCTAAAAATACATCCAAAGTGTTTAGATACGTCCGAAGTATAACTGGCCAGAATAACATCCCAAATTGTGTCTATTTTGGAGATATTTCTGCTGAATGGGATCGAGACAAAGCCACCCTCTTCAACAGATACTTCTACTCCATTTTTACTAGGAGTCCCTTCAACTGTCCAGATCCTCAGAACCTACCCAAGATGAATCCAAATATCAATGACATATCAATTACTGAAGACGAAGTATACCTCGCATTAATATCTCTGGACCCTTCGAAAGCTGCAGGTTGTGACAGAATTGGCCCTAAGCTACTTAAACACTGCGCTCTCGCTTTATACAAGCCTCTTTGCCACCTATTCAGCCTTAGCCTCTCTCAGTGCTACATTCCTGCTGAGTGGCGTCTACATCTAGTAATACCTGTTTTTAAATCTGGTGATAGAGGCTTGGTTCAGAACTACAGACCTATTTCACTCCTTTGTGTTTGTTCGAAGGTGTTGGAAAGGCTTGTTTTCAACCACATCCTTGAGTTTGTGAACAATAAAATATCTTCCCACCAATTTGGATTTATGCTCCATCGTTCGACCTTACAACAGTTGCTCATTTTTGTAAACAACATTTTAAAGTCGACCAGTACCTCCTTTCAAACTGATGTCATCTACTTGGACTTCAAAAAAGCTTTTGATTCTGTAGCCCACAATGAGTTGTTGTTCAAACTATGGCATATTGGTATTAATGGAAATACTTGGAAATGGCTAAAGGCATATCTGACCTGCCGCACTCAGTGTGTCTCTATCAACTCGGCTACCTCTACTGCCCTCCCAGTTATCTCTGGCGTTCCTCAGGGCAGCATTTTGGGCCCACTACTGTTCGTAATTTTCATAAATGATCTTCCAGACGTAGTGTCAGCATCTAAAGTTCTGTTGTTTGCTGATGACGCGAAGTGTTTTAAACCAATTTCTAACCCTTTTGATCGTATGTGTCTACAGGATGATCTCAATAGGCTAACCCTATGGAGCACTACCTGGAGTTTGCCATTCAACGTCCAGAAATGTTTTGTTCTCTCTTTTCCACCTAGATGTGGCCATGCTCTATTCTCCAACTCCTACCATCTTAACAAATCTCAGCTATCGTTCAAATCGGTGCATAATGACCTTGGTGTCGTCTTGTCTTCCGATCTCAGATGGTCTGACCATTATGAATATATCATGGCCAAGTCATACAGAGTTCTTGGTTTACTTCGAAGAGTGTTTTCCTCTGTTCAATGCCCCCGGGCTAAAAGGGTTCTCTACATAACTTTGGTTCGTTCTAAGCTGCTTTACTGCTCTCCCATCTGGCGTCCTCACCTTCTGAGAGATATTAAAGCTCTTGAGAATGTCCAAAGACGAGCCACTAAATTCATTCTTAACAACTATGTTTCTAACTATCGTCTCCGTTTGCTCGACCTTCATCTCCTGTCACTAATGATGGTCCTTGAAATTGGTGATATTCTGTTCTTCGTAAAGGGCTTGAAAGAGCCATCAGCCCATTTTAACATTCTTAGTTTCGTCACATTCTGCTCTGGCCAAACTCGTTCAGCCTTGCACTTCAAGTTGAGACAAACTACTCCTATTTCTAATAACTCCATTCGTCACTTTTACTTTAACCGTCTTCCCCGCCTCTGGAACTCACTCCCCCTTCTTAATTTAGATCACTCCGTATCTACTATCAGGTCCAAACTCTACGAACTCTTTTGGAATCGTTTCATTACAAACTTCAATCCAGACAATCCATGCTCGTTCCACTACCTGTGTCCATGTGCTAAGTGTAGCTCTATCCCGATCTCCCCCAACTTTGACACCTCTCTCCTATGAACTAATCTTAGTATGTTTGTTTTTGTCAGTATGTGTCATAGCTGCTGGTGTATACCTCCAGCAGATCCTCAGCACTACCATCCTATTGCTATCATCTTACTTTTCACATCTCGTCTCTTTGTGTGCTGTAAAGTCTCAATAATAATAATAATAATAAAATAATAATATTATACATGGGTGTGTCGTTAGACAGTAGAGTGGCTGTGGTGTAGTATATATATATACGTCCATCGGGAGTAAGTTTTTTTGGTATTTCTGACGTCATTTTTTCAGTATGTGATGTGAATCAGGGGTGTGGTAGGTAGTTAATCTTGGAATATTTGATGCAGTGCATGTAAGGACCACAGGAGGGCAGGGAAAGAGAGTTTGTCATGGAATAGTTTTTTGGATGGCAGCTTCTTCATAATAATGTTACTCCATAGAAACACTGGATCAGTGATATAATAGCCTGGAAATTTGAATGAAACATTACTGCTCCTAAACATGTAGAGCTATACTCATACCTCTGGAAGTATTTCATGTTCAGACATCCGAATCGGATTAACCGTCAGCCCAGGAAATTCATCCTCACATATACTTGTAACAAAACATCGCATCTCATTAACCTAGCAAACAATACTATTATTGCATAAAGGTTTTTGAATTCTGTACCACTTACAACTCCTGGGTGCTCAAACTGCCATGTTGTAACATGTTTGTTAATTGCATGTTGGAGTTGCTTCTCCATTGAGGCCTTCAGAAAAGTCTTCCATCTTACATTATCTGGGTGTCTTGCACAGGAGAGTAAGAGTCTCCGTAGACTAAGTGTGCCAGGCTCCGTAGATTACAGTATATTAGCGTTCCAGAATGGCTCCGTATACTACAGTACACTAGCGTGCCAGAATGGCTCATAAGATTACAGTACACTAGCGTGCCAGAATGGCTCATAGATTACAGTAGGCTAGCGTGCCAGAATGGCTCATATATTACAGTAGGCTAGCGTGCCAGAATGGCTCATAGATTACAGTAGGCTAGCGTGCCAGAATGGCTACAGTGTACTAGCGTGCCAGAATGGCTCATAGACTACAGTACACTAGCGTGCCAGAATGGCTCCATAGACTATAGTGCACTAGCGTGCCAGAATGGCTCATTGACACTGGCGTTCCTGAATATTACAGTGGGCTAGCGTGCCAGAATGGCTCCGTAGACTACAGTACACTAGCGTGCCAGAATGGCTCATAAAATTACAGTACACAAGCGTGCCAGAACGGCTCCGTAGACTACAGTGTACTAGCGTGCCAGAATGACTCATAGATTGCAGTACACTGGCGTGCCAGAATGTTGCAGTACATCAGCGTGCTCCGTAGGCTCATAAACATTAGCGTGCCAGAATGATTCAGTAATAGTATTGCACTGCATTGGTGTGCCCGCGGTACACTGCATTCTAAATTTCTAGATACACTGCATGTGCCTGAATAGTTCCATAGACATTTAGAGAGCCAAAATTTACTACTGTCGCTGATTGAGCGCTGTATTCTACGCGCTACGCTAATTGCATGTTTCGGCCGGCACGGGGGCACGACGAGTAAACTCATACTCTTGGCTCAGCCCCATACCACGCATGCGCAGTACGCCGACTTCAGTGCCGAACAGCACACTTGCACAGTGTTGCGCGAGGAAATGGTGCAGAGGTAAATTCTCGATGCGAGTTTTTTCACGCACGAATAAATGAACTGGGTGTAAAATATACATGCTGGAGTGCCTCTCTTGTCCAGAGAGCTCTTGCCAGATACTCCACTTTCTCAGTGCAGCGAACCATCATCTGATCTGACATCTGGTTCAATGAGAGAGGTGAGGGAGGATGGGTAAGAAAGGAAAAGGGAGGAGAGGGGTAAAAAAGGCAGTGAAGTCTTTAATCCAAGCACAAAGCGCAAGGTGTAAGTATTTGGAACGAAGAAAGAATCGGCATCTAGTTGTGCCTCTACAGTGTACAAAACACGCACACTGGACATATTTCTTTTCTTTTTACCACCGCAGTTGTAAAGCCACAAGTACTTTTGGACGTCACATTGTGTGCAGTATAACACAATCTAATCCTGGTTCACAAGGAGTCAGTGATGTGACACAATGCTACGATGCAGCATTTAATCCTCTGTGATGTCACATATTCGAGTGACGGAGAATACCGCAGGATGCCACATTTTATAAAATCGCGGGGAAAATTGCAATCCAGGCTTAATGTACCTACACATGCTTAGGTGAATGGCGACAAATAATGCAACTACCAATAGACCAAGCCAGGAGATAATGTCTTTAGTAACAAAAACAAGTTACCTAGACAGAAGTGTAGCTAACCATGCTGGCGTAGCTAAGAAACCCTATAAAGTTTATTTATGGAGGTATATAACAAACTTATGAAAGAAAGCGGTGCACTGTGTAGTACTAGCAGAACAAAACAGCAATGAGGAGTCTTAAGTTGGTTGTGGTGGCAGCATTTGCCTTCTGTATCATAGAGATTGCAGCTTCCCAATGTGATGGTGATATTTGTACCGATGCGGAGCACCGATAACTCTGCACTGTAGAGTGCAAAGGGCTAGGCTTTAGTTGTGTGTGTCCCGAGTTTAGCGAGGGTGCTACTACTAAGGGTTGTCTCTATAATGTGTCAAATTGGTTGTTGGAAATCTCTCTCAGTTGTGAGGCTAGCTGCAGCAGTAGCTACATGAGACACTGAGTCCATTCATGACTGAAATGTAGGTAGACCTGGCTGCCGTTAAAGAAAACCAGAACGGTGTCTGGGGACAGGTGAACTCCCTCACTGAGACTGAATTTGACCATAAACTACTGACCAATGTTACAAAGGAACTGAAGAAGACTGTTGACTATTATACTTGGACAGGTGTATGAGTGTGGAGGTACAGGAGGTTGGAGACGTGTGGTCTACCTTAACACGACAGACCCCAATGAGTACTGTCCCTTTGGCTAGAATATTACTAGTCACTCAAAGATAACATGCGGTAAAAAAAAACACCAGCAGGTTCTCCTGTGACCCAGTCTTGTTCCCTGTCAGAGAAGGAAGCTACACTATAGAATTAGAAGCTACACTAGTGTGTGTGGCTCTATCAGAGCCTACCAGGTTGATCACATTGATGCATTTGATGCCTATCATGTTGGACAAGTGGCTACAATAGATGGGGCGGGGCCTATGCTGCTGGTGTCGTCTCACACATGGCAGTCCACGACAAACACATCTGGACATTAATTGAAGCTGAAAGCTCTGAAACAGATTATGACGACTACGATGCTTGTCCTTGTGATGCTAAAGTTAAAATTCTGGGATGGCGAAGGCTGCAGCTCATTTAACAATCCTCCATACTTCACTAAGACACTCCACAGCCCCACCTCCGACCCTATAGAGGCCAGACTATGTTGATTGGATAGTTGTGATGATTCTCCAGTAGAGTTCATGGAACTCTATGTCAAGTTGTGACACTGAGACTATGAAGTGAAGGACTCTGTGTAGTTGTACCACTCAATCAATTTAGAGGTATGTAACTGTCTTATTCATTTTTCTGATTCACGGATACGCAAGTTTGTACTTTGTAGCTACCTCTGCTAGGTTTGGCAACTAAAACAATGTCATCAAGATATCTATCGTGAGATTGGGCACCCTGAGCAAAAGAGGGAGAGAGAGAAAGCAGTTTTGTCACACTTTGCAGCACACTGATTAACCCTCGGTGCGCATGGGTTACGGTAGTGGTCGTGTGTCAGTCTGTTACTCGACATCTCACTTCACGAGCCATCAATCGCTCCACATACAATACCACGTATTCAGCGTCGAGTATAGGTCGAAAAACATGTAAGGTTTTCTGCCCCCATCGAGTCATGTTTATTCTCCTTAACAATAATAATTATGGATGAGCTTGCGTAGCATTAACTTAAAAAAGGATAGTGTTCCGACATTCCGGTCCATAGACCTCCTTGAGTGGGACAAAATCTGGCCCTCCCTTTCCTGGTGTCTGGGAGTTGCTTAGTGTGCCGGTATGCCAGTAGCTACACTGGGCCTAAGTTTGATTCTTGACAGAAAATGTTTCTCCCTACTACATCTGCGTAGGCTGACTATCTTGTTCAAGGCGAACAAAGTACTACCATCCTTCCAGACGAAAATCTTTGTTTGCCACAGAATATTCACCTTGCACTAACTGTTATTTCCCCTAAAGGTGCCCAAATCCTTAGTCCTTTATGGCTATAACATTAAAAACTAACCAAAGGGTATCTCTGTTGTCTACAACCTGGAAGAGTGACGTTTCTTATTTTTCTGTCGTAAGAGTGCCACTGACTTATTTGCTCACTATTTATGCTGTAGCAGTAATTTACATTCACTTCCATAACCCTTTGTGTATCATCTGATGATCACGCTATTCTCTCTAAAAGCTCTATACGGGCACACTTCATCCTACTCTCGTACTAAAATGCTATTGCTAGTACATCGTAGAAAGAGCAACCATCAGACCTATTGTTTGTGGCAGTACAACACAGCTCCAGTAGATAGGGGACTGAAAATTCCTGCATGGCAACTCTCAAGCAAGGATAACTGCT